CATAATAATAATAAATACGATAATTGAAATTTACATTTTAAAAACGTATTTCTTGGGTCATATAAATATAGCATACTTTTCCGACCTTCAGGTTCGAAATACCCATATCAATTTACACCTCACAGCTAACATATTCATTAATTATTAATGTGCCTTTCAGGGCATATCAACTTCGCTGCCAGGCCAAGCGTTTTTCCACTCTTGTTTGTGTTTCCCGACGCCTCGCTATTTTTTATGTTTCTGTTTTTGTTTATTAAAAAGTACAAACAGGCAGAAACAGAACCGGCCCAAAGCGCTGAACACCAGAACACCAGGCCTCAGGCCTCAGGCCACCCAGCCGGCCCTCGAGAGCGTTCCATTCAATTTGGAGCCCCCAAATGCTAGTTAGGCATTAATGTTCGAAATACACGAGAAATCTACGGAAATCCTGTGAATTTTCCCTCGCAGCCCATTGCGTGGGCCTGCGTTATTATATGATGGCCAAGCTTTGACTTTCTCTTTTTAGCCCTCGCAAAGCGGAAGCTATTTCTGGTGGGAAAAACGGGGCGGAAAGGCCGCGACCAGGTTGAAACCGATTGCAACTTTGAGGCAAAATGCGAAACAAAGAGAAATGGAAGCGTTTCCAGATCATAAACGCAATTTTATGGCCTGGTGGGGGCATTTCAATTTTGTATTTTTATTGACAATAAGTTAACAATGTTTACTTTCAGTTGTGTGTTGTGTTCGGCTATTTTTGAACAATCACAACAGCCTCATAGTCGGACCAAAAATACCCAGTTGGGACTGTGCTTCCGACTCCGCGCCTTGCCCCGCGTCGCTTTTCAATTGTTTACAAGCGATTTTTTGTATGTTTTAATTTTCGTTTCATCGGTTTAATGAAAAATGAGAAATATGTACAAATGAGCGGTGAGAGAGATGCGAGAGAAATGGGAGAGAGTGGGAGAGAGTCAGTCTCTCTGTCTCTGCGCCTGCTCATAGGACCCTTGGGGGCTGGCATGGGCTTGGGCTTAGGCCTGCGGTATGGGTCTGGGTTACGGGTTTCGGGACACGGGACACGGGACACGGGACATGGGAGACGGAACACGGGCTCGGCTGTGGGCATTGGTATCCAGCTTGGGACTGGTTCTGGTTCGGGTTGGCGCTCGGGTTCACCTCGCTGTCGGCTCAACATCAAAAATATATATTTTGCCATTTGTCTCTGGGCCCGGTGAGCATTTTATAATTTTCCATGTTGCCGCTTTCCTACTTATCCTCGTGTGTCTGTCGCTACGCTTAAGTAGAGGCTTAGGTATCCTCCCACTAGGAACCCATTGAAGGTGCCTCCTCTCGAATAAGGTGTCTACTTGGCAGGCATTTCAAAGAAACTAATTTGCTGTAGTGCCGCCTTCTCGTTGATGGGAATTAATTCGGTTTTATGAGCGATTTATTATCAATCACCGGACCGGCTATAAATACCTTTCCTGCAGTTCTGAACAGTGCATATGCTTGGTAGCAGTGCATTTGAAGTCGGCCTTCAATGCCTTTTGATAAAAGCAGGTATTTAAAATTTCATGCTGTACACTGGTCAATCAAACTATTGCTTATGAATTCCCTTTTGGATCAGTAATTAAAATTAATTAATCTGTATAGTAAATATTTATGTAGCATTTCTGTATCAGCTTGATTGTGTAATTTGCGACCAATTAAAACTAACAGTCTGGGAAAGTCTAGGGTAAATATTGATCAGATTTTCAGCAGCATTCATTCGTGTGTTATTGATATGGAGCAGGAACACACTGCGTATACTTATTATTAATTTAAAGCATTACCCATACATCATGTTTCGCCAGAGGACATAACAAGAAAGGCCACAACAATTCGATTACAAGTTGATTTATTATTTAAATTGCGTGTTGCGAACAAATACTGGCAGCAAAAGGAAACACGGAGCACTGGGGCTTCGAAGGAGTAAGGACTATTGGAAATGGAGGAGCGAGCTCAATGGCACATGTACACGTAAAAGTGTCACCGAAATGGGTAAGGACATTCGTCTTTTTCGTAGTTAAATTATTGAATAAAGTCCCCTTTGAACACAAGTTATGTATATGTTTCTATTAATCTTTTTTTACGATGTAGTGTAGTTTTAGATTTTAGTCATAAGAAAGTATCGAAAACAACATGGAACTCATATTGCCCTGCATTTTTCATCCGTGTGTTAGTCTTACATAATGATGGCCAGTGGTGTGGATGCTGGACGGGAGTCTCATTCTGCTATTCAAATTAATTGCAAAACTCTTAAAAAACATTAGGTAGTCGTGCTTATCAGAGGACCAGCATCGCCAGCTGGAGCCGCTGCAATCCACCAAGTCCTCAGGCCCCGAAAAAACTTTTACCATGATGGCCCTGACAAGCAGAAAATCAGGAGCGGATCAGGGGATGTGGGGCACGGTGGCGTCCAGAGGACGTGCAAGTGACCCAGAGAGCCATACGGCCTTATCCTAGGGCACACGGATGGGTGGGAGGGGATGGTGGCGTGGGTGGAATGATGGCTGAGGCCAATGCCGTAATTTATGTAGGCTCTCTAAGCCCTTCCATGCGTGAAATGTGATTATATCTGCGTATAAATACGCATACAACTGTGACCGTGTACGGGTTTGGCACTATACTATAGACCTCCATACACAATCTATAAATGTGTGCTTATTTGGGCGTGGGACATATAGTATGAGCGATAGATATACATAGTATTACGTTCAAATGTTTAAATAAATGCATTGAAAATCCATTAAACATTTTCGATTTTACATTGCAAGTGCTGGCTTCTAAAATCAATAACAATTGTCTCGCTGATAAAGCTAATGATCACATAAACTTGCTGTTATTAATTATCCTAACGAAAAAGATTAACAGAGTACTGTTAAGCACTGAATTAAGCTGTAAAACGGACTTAAGGATCAAGACAAAAACAAGAACTGCTATGTGACCAATTATTTAATTTTATGGTAGTAAATGTTTATTAAAATATATGCAATATGTAAACTAGGTTTAAACATTCCAAGGGAAACTTACTTAGAAAAGATGATATATAAATCAAGTATTTAATTAATTTGTTAGCCATTCATGAAAAAAAACTCTCACAGATCCTTAAGAATCTTTAAAATAACCAAAGCTTTAAGCTACATTCATATTATGGAATTGGCGTTCTTATCCGATGATAACAAAACAACAATTGCATGCGCTCCTGCTGCGCTGCGACTGCGCTGCGGCTGCTGCATTAAGCGCGTCATCGCACAAATACACGCACAGAAACAATGGCCGCGTGCGTGTGCATCTGCACTAGTAGTATTAGTGCGGCTTTGTTGTTGCGCCAAAAACCAAGCCAAGGATTTTTCGCACATTTACGCCAGCAAATGGACTGCTGCCGATGCACTCAGAAAAATAGATTCCGCTCCAAGAAATTTATCAATAAACTGATCATATTTTAATTAGACTGGCCTTGCTTTTTCGGTAATTGTTTTAGTTTAATTTGATGTAATTAATTATAAAGAGAAAACTGTAAAACGTATATTATCTATAAACATTACAGTTTTGTACCTAATTGGGATAAAGTTTTATGTTCCTAATCCCTGAACCAATATTTATAAAAAAACTTTTCTGACCATAAGAAAGATGGCTAAAGTATTTAATTCATATCGAATCTCTCTCATTAATATATACCCATACAGGCTATTAATATTTTAGTTTGCAACGCAGTTATGTTGACATATCTAACCTTATGTTTATTTATTCTAAATCAGCATTAACAACTGTGTCTATGTACAGTTTTTATTACATATTAAAAACTATATGAAATAAAAAATTGTAAAAAATTATTATACAAACTCTTACTACTTAGAAATGTGGCATTCCTTTTATGATTTAAGAACTACAGTTTTAACGTTCAATAAAAAGATATGTTTAAACTTGACCTTCTGAATATTTTTTAATTTAATTTAAAATCATTCAGACTACTTTTATAAAAATTGTATATTTAATTTTTTCTGTATTTTATAAGACGCGTAAAACCCGAAAATATTATTTATTGAAACGTTGATTTCAGTGATTTCATATTCACAAATTGTATGTCGCATATTTTAAGTAGATGATAAGCTATAAACAATTTGTATAAACTCATGGCAGCCACGAAAATTCCTTTTCTGAGTTTTATTTAGCTTATATCTAGCTTAATTTGTTTTGTATTTATTGCTTAATTCGCATATGAAGTAATTTTTTTCCAGTGTCCTGCTGCTCCTTACTGCCGCATTCTCTCTTTCTCTCCTACAGACGACCTTCACTTTCATACGGCTGTCCGCGTATTTTTATGTTCAGTTGATTCTACGCTTTTTTAATAACACGCTACTCTGTGTTATGGTTTTTTTAGCAGGATAAAATAATATCATATGTGCGGCAGAAAGGGGCGGTGTGCAGAGGCTTTAAATAGGCCAACTATGCAACAACAACTACTTGTTGTGTTGCATGCACGCTATGAGCTGCAATTAAGAGAGATATTTCTTTTTAATGCCTTGGCCACTTGGCAAGGACATTGGCGGTTAAAACATGTTGTATATTATCTATTTTTTCATCCTTTTTTGGGTGCTCTCTGTTATTTTTTGCGGCCGATGTTGTTGTATTTTTAGAGAGCGAACAGCAACTTTGTACAACGCAGAGGCAGCAACAACAGCAAGATTCGCGGATACACACATTTTCACAAATCAAAAAAGCAAACGAATATTGCCACACACACTGTCGCACACCCACACACACGCACTCGGGCACGGACACGGACAAGAGAGACAGACAGACAGGAAAAATCTCTCTTTTTTTATGGATTTTCTGAGCAGGCAATCTGCTTTCCTTGATATTTGATTAAACAATTTCTTAATGGTTTTTTAATATTTTTGTTTACCGTCTGCGTCTCTGCTAGTAACACATACAAATGCAGGCCTTTTCGGTTTATTACATTTACACTTGTCGCCTCTTACACTTGCTTCCTCCGCTCGTCTCCTCGCCTCGCCTCTCCTCCACCTCCTTCTTCTTCGCTCCGTTAGCCGCACATTTTTCTCCGCACTATTTTGTGTAGACTTTCTCTGCTTTCGGTTAGGAAATGTTCTTTTTCCGGAACTCCTCTAGCCGTGTTTTTCTTTGAAAAATTAACTATTACAAATTTTTTCTGCACGCACGATGGCCAGAAGAACTTGGCCCAAACTACGACCCGCTGTTTGCTCCGCTCCGATTCTCCTTGGGGCGTTCAGACAAACAGTTCTCGACAAACTGAAAGTGAAATGTGAAAAGCAAAAAGCGCCAGCGCCTCCGACCATCGGTATTGCAAGCCAGAATCCGGGACAGCACCGAAGCACTCACGGAGTCGGCGCACTAGCCCGAGCAAGTGGTGGTCACTGAAAGCGAAGGCAGCAACAGAATCGGAACAGATGTTGATGTTGCTTCCGAGCAAGGTGGCGGGCCTCAATGAACTCTCAGATAAATTATTAACGGACAACACAAAATTCAATTAATTCCAATCAAGGATACGGCCATAAACTGGCTTTGGGCTAGAAAATATCTTTTAACCATATCTAATTCAAATAAAATTAAAACCAATATACAAATAATTAATACAAAAGTAACAAAAAATGAAGTTAATTAAGAGAAGCTTACTGTGAAAGACAAAGTCATACATTTCATCAGATCTAGTTCTTCAAATCATCATCCAAACAGCTACCTGTTTTCAAGTCGCCAAATTTTGATTAGAGCAAACATGTTAAGCTAAAACAACATACTATGTTGCTACTATACAATATTAAAAATTGAATTAATCTTAAATTATCATCGCCTAACTCAACTTTATGGTAGCAGTTCCAGAAATTATGGTGCTTTGTATTAAAGTTGTTCATTAATGTAGAAATGTGGAAATGAGAAACTGAACTTCCATGATCTATGCAGTTTATAAAATTCACAGAGCTTCAGTTTCGTATTAAATATTTACCGTGAGACCCGATTACTCAATCATTTAAGCTTGTAAGTACAGTACTTTAAAAACATTTATTTCTTTTGCTAATACAATCGAAACTAACTTTGAGTCTATACATATCACTAAAAATCGATCAAGGATGTGGCATGAATACATGCTTAACCAAACCGTTTTCTAACACAAACCGATACTAAAGCAAACCAGACTAATTGTTATGTTCTCGTGGTTAAGTGTTCATGTTAAGACGGTGATGTGTTTTGAAAGCAGGTGCCTACTTGGAGCTGGAAGTAGCGCCCGCGCCAGCTTGGGGTTCCTTGAACTGCTTGTGCCACTCGAGATTCATCTGCGACACGGATTCCCCCGCTTAGCCGCCTGCTTGCCGCTGTAGACCATAATAGCGCAACCGACGGCGGTGAGAGCGATCATGATGTTGGCCAGTCGGATACGCATTTTGTTCCGGCAGCGCTCCATCTCATCCTGGCTGCAAAAAGGACCAATTGTGTTCAATAACCTGTTGCATCCTCCAACAGACATCCCACGCACCTCACAAAATTTGGTACTTCGCTCTGCGATTTATATTTACCGGTCCACACCAGCATACGTCTTTCCAGGTTGTTGGGCTCATGGTTCTTGATCGTCTGGCGCATAATCGGCGAGAACCCAAACGAGCGACGCACGATAGCTCCAATTAATGTTGCCTTGTTAAGCATAGTGTGCAATTAAAGCTGTGATTGTTGTTTACTAAAAATTATAGTCTGAAATACGAAATTTTATGCAACTCCTGATTAAAAAGTCAGTGTGACCGCGGCGTGGCCAAATATGGTATTCAACCGAATCTGGTATTAAATACAGAAACGAACGAACCCAACAAATTACTAGATGTATTGTGGTTTCGTTACATTTTCTCAGCTGTCTTCCCAGCTGTTGCAAATGTACCTAGAATGGAGAACAACAATTTGTATTGTACCATGTACACAATTTTGCTGATCTGACTTTGTTTACATTTGAATGGGGACGGCTTCCATCATGTCGCAACGGCATCGCCCTATTACCTTCGGGCTTAGAGTATTTATAAAAGTTCACATTGATTCATTTTCCCAGAAAATATGGAAGTTTACAAATATTCTGCAGTGCACACCGGAAATGGCAGTGCGGCCGCGGCATCAATGCCGCATAATAACGATGGTGTAATTGAATCTCTGTGACACGGCCACACTGCTCTCCCTTTTAGGTTTCGTTTTGCGGTGTAAAAGTCGGAAAAGTTAATTAAAAAGCGTTTTAGCGACCAAGGTCAACTGTAGGATCCGACTACCCGCCACGCAAAGCAGCAGCAGCCGATATGAGCGACTACACGAGCATTCTGCAGCGGGAGTTTCCCAAAATCGACTCTGAGCTGCTTACCTATGTCGTGGGAGTGCTCACCGGAAGTAAGTGGCTTACGATCCTTAACCAAGCTTGGGATTCAGTGTTTTCCGCATTGTTTTATGAAGGTGAGGAGGATTTCGAGACCGGCGACGACATCTTTGATGCGGTGGGAGACATCCTCCAGAGCGTGGATTGTGAGCGGCCGGAGGAAAGCGTCCGAGACTTGTGCGAGCAATTCCTCAACATCATGAAGAACAACGGAGTCAACGTGGAGCGCAAGATGCTGAATGCGCCCGTCAACATCGAGGAGATGGCCAAGAACATGGAGCGCCTGGACAAGGATATGCAGAGCATATGGGTGGTCAACAAGGATGGCGCTAATGTAAGTCTAGCTTCGGAATAGATTCGGTAAACTTCAGAGTTTTGAAACCAAGAATAATTCCCTCCTATTCCCCAGAAAGTTGATTCGAAAAAACTGGAAAAGGCTGAGGCCAAGCTGCAGCAAAAGCAGGAGAAGCGACAGGAAGTCAACAAACATGGAATGATTCCCGTGGCAGTGAAACTACAAACAGCTACGGCCTCCCAGGTCACCAATAAAAAGAACACCAAGCTTGACCAGAAAGGCCTCAACCGCTCCATGGACATTAAAATCGAGAACTTCGACCTCGCATTTGGAGAAAAGTAAGTTTAGTTTTACCATTGAGCCGCGAATGTACCATTAAATCGCGTTGGTCTCCACCAGAGTGCTCCTGCAGAATGCGAATCTGCTACTGTTTTCCGGACGGCGCTACGGTTTGGTGGGACGGAATGGCTTAGGCAAGACGACGCTGCTGCGGATGATTGCTGAGCGGCAACTGCAGATACCCTCTCACATTTCGGTGTTGCATGTGGAGCAGGAGGTGATGGGCGATGACACACCTGCTGTGGACAGCGTGCTGGAATGCGACACGGAGCGAACGAGGCTGCTCTCTCGGGAGAAGGAGATCCTGGCTGCGCTAAACAATGGCGTGCAGGATGCGGCGCTATCCAACGAGCTGAGCGAAACATACGCGGCCCTGCAGAACATCGAGGCGGACAAGGCGGTGGCCCGTGCATCTGTGATACTCAAGGGTTTGGGTTTCGATGCGGATATGCAGCTACGACCCACCAAATCCTTCTCTGGCGGCTGGCGTATGCGTCTGGCCTTGGCCCGGGCGCTGTTCTCCAAGCCCGATCTGCTGCTACTCGATGAACCTACGAACATGTTGGACATTAAGGCAATCATCTGGCTGGAGAACTATCTACAGACGTGGCCCACCACTGTATTGGTTGTTTCCCACGACCGTAACTTCCTGGATACCGTGCCGACAGACATCATACATCTACATTCCCAGGAGCTTGAGGCCTACAAGTAAGCCACTAACGTAGTTCAATTATATCCTTTATTAATATATTTTTTATAGGGGAAATTATGAGCAGTTTGAGAAGACAAAGACGGAGAAGCTAAAGGCTCAGAGGCGAGAATACGAGGCTCAAATGGCTCACAGACAACATGTCCAGGAGTTTATTGATCGCTTCCGCTACAATGCAAATCGCGCCTCGTCGGTGCAGTCCAAAATCAAGATGCTGGAAAAACTGTAAGCTATACGCAACTATTGACATGGAAGCTATTAATTTTCATTTAACATTATTAAAAAATAATATTTATCGACAGTCCTGAGCTGAAACCGGTGGAAAAGGAGACGGTTGTAACGCTCAACTTCCCTGACGTGGAGCCCCTCAATCCTCCGGTGCTGGCCATTTCGGAGGTGTCGTTCCGCTACAATCCCGAAGATCCACTGCCCATCTTTAAGGGCGTCAATCTCTCTGCTACCTCGGACTCGCGTATTTGTATTGTCGGTGAGAACGGCGCTGGAAAGTCGACGCTGCTGAAGATTATCGTTGGACAGCTGAGTACTATCTATGGAAATATTGTGCTGCATCGTGGCTTGCGTATCGGCTACTTTGCGCAGCACCATGTGGACCATCTGAACATGAACGTGACGTGTGTGGCGTCTTAGCTGAGCTGTTTCCCGGACGACCCGATGAGGAGTATCGTCGGCAGTTGGGCAGTTTTGGCATATCTGGTCCCCTGGCATTGCAGAGCATAGCCAGCTTGTCTGGTGGGCAGAAATCACGCGTGGCCTTAGCAAAGATGTGCATGGGTAAGACGCTGTTTGCTTTTCTTTATTATGTCTTTGACTATAATGTGTGTTCTATCAATAGCGGAACCGAATTTCCTAGTGCTGGATGAGCCGACAAATCACTTAGACATTGAGACCATTGATGCTTTAGGCCGAGCTATTAATGCCTTCAAGGTGCATATTTCATTTTCAATCAACACTTCTTAATGTATTTAACAATCTTTCTTTTCTTCTACTGAACAGGGCGGTGTTATTTTAGTTTCCCACGACGAGCGCCTTATTAAAGTCGTTTGCAAAGAGCTCTGGGTGTGTGGTAATCGCACGGTCAGAGCCATTGAAGGTGGTCTGGACGAATATAAGCGTGAGGTTTACAAGGAAATCGAAGCTAATAGTTGAATTTAATAACAGTACATTATTTATCTATTTGTGAAACAGCCTAGCAATAAATTTATATTATGTCTATGACACAAAGAGAAAGACAATGGTTTTCGAAATTTTGTAATTGTGTTTACCGTGAAATACTTATATTTTGAACAATATTAGGAAAACATAAACAAAAACAAACTCTAGATACTGCTACCAGTTGGCTGATTAAGTTTTCTTCGCATCTCAAAGAGCAACAGTGTCAGCGCGGATGCCACATTCAAGCTATCGATTCCAGCTGCCAAGGGTATGTAGACGCACTTTCCTTGGCCGTCGCCCACTGAGTTCATGAAACTGCAAAGAAAAATACAAAGTTGTGATTCCGATTCGGTTATGCCTGGAGATGCCATTTCCCTGTACCTATATGCTTCCCCGCTGACACCATGACTCTCACCGCCAATGATGAGAAGATTGTGCGCTCCAATTTCGTTGATCTCTGCATAATCGATTGCCTGGTGGTTGGCCCACTTTTCTTGGTTATTTTCCGCAATAAAGATCTTACAGTTATCGGCTGTCTCTCGGGGAATGCTTGAAGAGAGCTCCTCCCAGGTAACGTCATCGAGAATGGGCAGCCGGAACTGACCGCCACAGCCTCCTCTCAGAGCTTTCGATTCCCAAGGATCGCAGCAGCCGTGTGTGACTACAACCTGCCGGCACGGCAGAGCCGCACAGGTTCTAATGATGCTTCCCAGATTATTCGGCTCCCTGATATTATCACACACCACAGTGATGGGCAAGGGACGCGTTCCCAGTTGTTGTTGCTCTGTCAGGTTCTGCTCTAGACCCTTATCCGATGGTCTATCGAAAATGGCCATCAATCCGGGAGGAGTTACCAGCGAAGACCATGTTTTTAGGTCATGCTGTGGAACTTTGTAGATTTTTGAGCCGCTTTCCAGCTGCGACCTGCCAACTTCCTCCTTTATCAGCGCCAATTGATCCTTCTGACTGAAGATGAGAGCCTCCATTTTAAGGCCACATTGCAGGGCCTCTCTGATGAGGCGTCTTCCTTCAATGATGATCTGCCGGTTCTTGTCGCGACGTTTGCGGGAGCGCACTGTGGTCAGCAAGGTGCTGGTTAGTGGATCATGCAGTGTGAGGCGCACAAACTCCAGATTAAGCTCGATATCCTTTATCAATGGGGCAGGGCTGGAAGCTAGCCGTGGAGCAGGGACACCACTTTTCTTGCGCGGAGCCAATGGAACGGTGGGTTCCTTGTTTTTTCTAGCTCCAAGTGACTTCGTTCGATTCTTGCGTAAAGCATCCCGCGTGTTTACCGGCTCATGCTTCAAATCCGAATTTCCGAATAGATTTGCCTCTATATCTAGTGCATCCTTGATGTCGCCTTGAGGACCATTGGAGCTACTCCGTCGCAACACATTGAATGTTTGAACATTCTTTATATTCGCTTGAAAAGAGCGTTTTAAAATATTACAGAACATGGTTATTTAAACTGAACATATGTTTGTTTAAAGCAGAGGCGTTGGCAGTAAATGTACTCAGAGGGTTCACAAGGGATAAGAAACACCCAAATAAGAAAATATAATTTTTTAACGAAAGTTGACTGTATCTTCATGTAAGAAATTATCTTAATAACATCGTGTCCAATGACAAAAACAAACAACTAAGCTTAGTTTCAGACCCCCTTTACGTACGTCCGTGAAAATAGTGTTGAACAACGCCCAACTTGCAAAACCTGCAGTTTTACCACACTCTGTTAGTAGAAGCGGCACATTTCAAATTTTTAAACACATTCCATTTAATGAAAATATATATTTATTTCATTTTTTAAAATTGTGTTAGCAGTTAATAACAATTTGAAATTAATTAAAAACTAATAGCGCAATGAGTTGTCCTACTTGGGTGTTTGACATAGTTCCGTTAAGCAGCCATAACATAATACAATAATAATTTAAAATAACAATGCAAATTCAAACGCCTTCGATGGAAAAAGGTTGAAAAAAGGGTAGTTGTGTAAAACAAAATTAATATTGGAAACGCGATAAACTATTAAAAACATAGGCAATTCATCTAAATGGGGGGCTTCATGTGTTGGCTTAAAATACTATCATACATATAAATAAATTCTTAGAGTATAAATAATTCAAAATCTTCATAATCCATTCCATCTCAGCCAGGGTCGGCAGACCTTATTCACGATATTTGTTCATAACAATGTACGACCTAGAATTACTACTATCACCAATACGTCTTACATGGCTACGTGCCGTTTCTTAATTGAAGATTTGTAAATATTAAGCAATGCCTCTAACTTTATGCATAGTTAGTATATATACAGGGTTAAGCCAACTCGCTGGCTACATCTGTTAGGCTAAGCTGGCCACAGCCGAGTTAGAGCTGCTCGAGCTGTGGCTGCTGTTGGTTGTGCCGGACTGCTGGGTCTTCCTCTGTCGGGCTCCGCGGCCGGACAGCAGATATGACAGATCAATAGGTTGTTCCTGGGCTGTCTGTGCATCGAGACACTTGAGCTTCATTGTATTCAGAACACTTTCCAATCGCGAGCGCTTCTTTTTAATCATCTGTAACGTGGTAAAAAGAAACATAATAAATTAGAAATTATTTTATATAAAGTTTTGGGGTGCTTTGTTATCTTAATCTGCCTCCACTAACCTGTCTGTTGGGAGCCACTGGCGTTACGACATGGGCATCCACTGAGGTCGCAGTGTAACCTCGAGGCTTTCTCCCTACCGTCTTCGGTTGATGATGCTGGTCCTGCCTTCCTGTTGCCTTTTGCATAGCTGCTGCCGCTACTCCTACATCTAATTCAGTCTTTTGCTTCCTTGTTTTAAGCAACGAAGGATCCACATCGTGGGGCTGAAATGAAAAGTAACGGGAAGTTAGAAGTTAGTAAAGAACATTCTTTTCATTTATATTTTGGTTTGAACGTACCGCATAGCTCTTGGATATCTTAAGTTTTTCGGGGAACTTCCGAAAGGCATAGCTCTTGGTGCACGCAGGATGGTTGGCCTTGGCCTTTGAAAAGAACCTGGCCGTCTTGTCCACACGCAGCTCGCAGATGTAGCAATGATCTTCATCAACGCACTCCATAGGCCGACCCTTGCAGAAGGTAGTGCGATCTAAGACCCAACACCGTCCAATCACCAGCTCAATGGGCACAACTTCATAAAGGGAGACCCTGACCACTTCATTGGGGTAAAAACGACGGGAGGGTTCATGGAAAGTTTCATGGGGCCGCAGGAAATGATGGCCGAATATGAAACGCTTTCCCAATTCATTTTTCCACAAGTGCTCGACCCGAAAAATGTCACACTCTTGGTAGTCGATAGCACCGATAGTCTCGTAGGTGTGCTTCTTGGTTGGCAGCACCTTACCCGCCTCATCCTTGATGGGAATATCACGTAGGACATAGACAGCATCGCCTTGACGCACCTGCAGATCCCCGCGCATCAGAGAAAGGTAGTAGCGATGTCCCTCCTCGGTGAATTCCTCCAGTGGAATTTCGCGATCCACCTCTCTTGGCTCGCACCGCTCGCACTGATAGTTGTCTGCATCGATATCAGCCTTAGTGCACTCTGTATGCTGCCAAACCATGCACTTGGCGCACTGAATCATTAATCCCTCGTCCTTGTACAAGCCGCAAATACAACGGATCACATCCTCTTCGGGGGAACCAATTGGAAGCAATGAAGGTATAGGTAACGACGGCACCACTGGAAAAGCTCCGTCCCCAGCTCCTGGCGATTTCTTCACGACTAGTTTCGGCGCAACCTCTTCCTCAGCCATGTCTCCCTTCGGCTTGAAGCTTTGCAATAATCCCGAATCGCCTAAAATGTCCACCAGTTGACCATAGTTGTCCGCCTTCTGCTGCTCATAGCAGTCTTTCAGGGCTTGCAAGGCCTTGGCTTTGCCCTCATCGTCGCCATGCTGCTGCTTGGCCTCCACAAAAAGCTGCTGCATGTGGTCGTCGTATTCCTGCGGTGTCTTATAATGGCCCTGTTCCACCCAAGCTTGAATGGCCCTGAACTCCACGCGCGAGTTTGCAGCTGCCAATCCTGCTGTTTTGCCGCTCAGATTCTTCATTGACTTTTTCTTCTTGCTGGAGATGGTGGTCAAGAGATCGGCCATCTTTTGGGTTTCAAGGGAACTGCAGATATCCCTCAGAACAACAGCCATTTTGGCCATTTTCTCCAATTCGGGATCATGAACGGCCTGCGCCAGTCCTCGGGTTTTCATGTTACGGGGCGTGCAGAGCGCTGATATCTGGGCCGCCAGCAAGGAGGTGGATGATGGTGTGGATGGTCGACGTCCGGGAATATCTCCATTGGTGGCACCGTGTGCTGGTGATGTTGCGGAAGCCGCAGGCGTAGACAGGACCAAAGAAGCAGCTTGCTTGGCCTTACACTTTCGAATCTGGGATGAAAACAGAGATTAATATAACCCACAATGTGATGGCTTGTAAGAGAAAACTCACCTTCTCGAAATTCCTCACTAGATAAATGTTGAACTGTTTGACCAGCTTCCTTTCCTTTTCGGACAGTGGCTGCATTTTGGTTACTGACACTGAAGATGCCGTCTCCTTGCTGCCCGCCGGCTGCCTCTGTGCGTGCTTTCTGGCTTTTTGTTTCCGTTGACGTCCGTTTCTGCCCGAAGGTCCCTCCGGAGCGGGCTTACTCTCTATGGCAGGAAGGGGCTTCACCCTCTGCGACTTGCCGCCGATGACGCCACGGCACTGGGGTGTGTTGCACCTGCATGGCTGACCCTCAGAGGGATTGAACAGCGAAAAGTTGTAGTCATACGTCAGCTCCTCACCCTGCTCGATAGCTCTTTTGGCAAAAAGCACCATTCGAGACAGTCCGTTGACGCTCCACTTTTGCATTTCGCAATTGGGCTCGCAGGAGTGGTTAACAAACCGGCAATCACTGCCCATGCGCTGACCGTCGATCACGAGTCCACCATCCAAGTGTAGGCAGTAGTGATGAGTATCATTCAGATAAATACTGGCCATCCTCTGCTTAAATTCCCTTTCGGTAACCACTTCGCCCACGTACTCTAATATGTAAGTGCCCTTGGCAATTGGTAGTTTTGTGCGCACACCCCAACCCTTGTCCAACGTCATGAAGCGCTCCACTCCGGGAGCCACTGCGTGTCGTTGAATCTTCTGATTCCGACACTTCTCTGCAGCTGGACAATTGGTGGGAGAGCACTCAGTGTATACCATGCGATTAAGACAGTTGTCTAAGCAGGCTTTCTCGCCCTGGTTCTTGCAGTTGCAGGTAGGAGGATCGAATCCAGCTATATTTGGGCGCACTGACTCGGCGTACACATTAGTACGGATTTTCCGGTAGTTCCACGACGGAACTACATGTCTAGTTGGCAATTTCGAGTTAGTATATGCCCACCAAATGTCGTAAGGCAGCTCAAAGTCCACTTCCCTCCTTCGAAGATACTTTTCGCAATATGGAGGAGGTGGCAGAAGACTTCCAGACGCGGCGTGCTGCTGCTCCTCTACAGGCGGTTTCTTGTTCACCTTTGCTGGCGGCGGCATCAGCGATTGCTTATAGTGATTGGAGAACAACCCTGCAACCAGATAGGTCTTCTTTATCTTTGACAATTTCCGCAAAGAGTTGGTCGATGCCTTGTCTTCGCTGGTATCACTGCAACTGGCGTAATCGGGTGGCATGGGGTAAAGGGATTCGTTAGAAGGCAATGGATCATGCTCAACGGGAATAGAATCCAGCCTCTTTGCCTCAGCCTCCGCATCGATCTCCTCCTGGGTTGACGGCACCTCCGGTGGAAGTTCAGGTTCAACAGGTGCCTTAGCCTTGGTGATTTGATTGCATCCCGTATCTAGGTTCTTTCGCCGCTTCAAGCGAATCTTGCAACTGAAATTTGTGTTGGGATCAATGCCTGCTGGTAGTTTAATATTCGGTTCCAGTTTAGGCTTTCTTTGTGCTGTCGCTGGAGTGGGTGATGGGACTTGTAGTGGTGGTTGCTTGGGTTGCCGGCCACGTTTTCTCTTCACTTCTGGTTCGGTGTGGGACGCCGGAGTTATGGGTGGTGGAGGTTGAGCTGCAGGCAGCTTCTTATCCTTGGGCTTCCTTCCACGAGGCCTACCTCTGGCGGCAGGTGTCTGGGGTCGTTGCAAGCGCTCCAGAGCCACCACCGACAATCGCGGCGCTCTCTGATTACTCCTGGCCACAAAGTTTTCCCTGGCCTCACCTGTCTGTGGTACCCTTTCGCAGTCAATGGGCGGATTGCCTTGAACTTGCCCCTGGGCACTGCTGGAGCTTCTGGTTTCCCTCATGTTCTGCAGTGGCTGATCGTCGGGGTCCATATCCTCCTGGTCTCGGTCCTCCAACATCGTAGTTGGTGGTTGCTGTTCTACACTGACTTTTCTCTTCTTTTTCCGCACTGTAGGGAAACCGGTGCGGTTGATCTTCTTCCGTTTGCGTTTAAGCAGAAAATTGCCGCCAGTTTTATGGAGTAATGTTTCAACAACTCTCTGACCAATCTCCTTTTTGGTATCCTCCTTAATATCCAATGCAGACAGCAGGGGCGATTCCACCTCTGCCTTAGTTATGACTGATTCATTTAGTTTGCCGATGGGTATCTGGATTTCCAGTTCGACGGAGGGTTCAAACACCCCCGGGGGAGGGTAGCTACCGGAGGCTGGAGACTGTTGGGACATTTGAGCCAAATCCTTAGTGGGCGCCACCTTCTGCTTGGCCGATCCACCTCTCCTTTGCTGTTTAAGGGAACACAGCGAGCTGGGACTGATGTCTAATAGTTTGCCACCACTAATGGAGTTGTTGTCTACAACAATCCTCAGAGGAGAGTTGCTGGCCGAGGAAGCCACTCCTCCGCTAGACGAGGGTTGCTCAAGGAGATGCCTCTTTTTGGGCGTCAGAGCGGATTTGGCGCTCTTCGCATTGAACTGAGCCTGCGACTTGGTTGATGCGGTGCTCTTAGCAGTCGCCGCTGCCGCTGCCCAAGCCTCTGCATTAAGTTTTCCATTGGCGAAAGCCGCTTCCGCCGGAGGACGCTCTCCCGGTGTCAGCAGGTAGTGACGCTTCTTCAGCGGTAATTTGTGATCGTCGGGACTTGAACTGTCGTTGCTCTGCGATTTCTTGTGTCGTCTCTTAGCATTACTGTTACTCGTCCCACTGCCATTGGGCGTTCCACTAGCGCTGGCCGAGAGCATGGCAAAGTCCACCAGCGGTTCGCTTAGCTTACGCTTCTTCAAAGCCCGTTTCAAGGGCTTTGATAGCGTTGTCGCAGACCCCCCTGCCCCATTCAGAACCATTTGCTGGGCGGGACTTGGAGCTGCCAGCGTGGCTTGCAGCTTATTTGCATCGGCCATTAGTTTCTCCTTGCCACTGCTACCAGTCAGCCGATCGTCCTGTATACGACATCTCGAGTGAAAGGTACTCGTAATAATCTCGATTTCGGTAAGCAGCTTAGAATCAATGTTCAATGACTTGTTGTTGCTAAAACTCTTCCGGCGATGTCTGCGCCTCATCCGAGACACTCCGGACACATAGCTACTGCACATACTTGCCGCCGACGAGCGCCGGGATTTAATTTTGCAGGAGGCTTTGCTCGGAGCTGGAGTCTCCTTCCGTTGATTCATCATCTTGTTGATGAAGTTATCCGGATTCGTGTTAGCCAAACTGCTCCCGCGACCGAAATACTGTCCAGTCGTCACATAGCGATTAATCTCCCCGTACTTCTTGCTGGCACTAGTCGTGGGCAGGCTCTGTAAGCTCGGCTTACTGATGTATTCGTTGCTTTCCTCACTGCTCTGGCCCAGAGATAGGCCGGCCAACTGTAGGATGTCCTGATCTTCGACCGGGTCATCTGCAGCGCTCTTTAACAGCATGGAGGCCCTGCGTTTTCGCCTCATTCGTAGGCCAGACTTTCCGGACTCCTTGCAGTCACTGCGGTAGCCACAACTCTTTGCCCTGCTTCGGCGACTTACACAGCTTTTGGTGCTGTACCGACTCTTGCAGCTTGCGTCGGACTTGTACCCAGAATTATGGTTATGGGCGCTCCTCTGATGCCGCACGCTGCCATAATCCGACACATAACCGCTCTTGGCGGCCAGGATCTTGCTGCAAATGGTGGTGCCTGGTCCAGTTCCACTAGCTGCTCCAACACTCATACTTCTTAAGCGGAACTTCTTGTTTACATCGATCTCCCGCCACACTGGATCCAGCTGCAGCTCCTCTTTGGCGGATGAGCTTGAGGCGGTTTTCTTGTTGTTCTGTCTCCGCTTGCTCCTAGGTGGTGGATACAGAACCCGCTCCGTGGCGTACATCCTCTTATCCAAGTAAGCCATGTCCATCTTGGGCTTACTGCTGGACGCCGGCACCTGCGCTACTGTGGGAACAATGTTTTCCGATTGCATCTTGGGTGAGGGTGTGGTGCTTTGCGTAGTGCTTGTGGTGCTAATCACACCTGAATCGGCGGACTCATTGATGGCAGGCCCAGAGTTCACGGGGGAGGAATCGTCGGAATTATCTTCTTCGGTCTACCCCGCCTCTTGCGGGGATTAGCAGTCTGCAGGACTGTTTCATCTTTGGCTTTAGCAATAGCTGCCGCCTCTTCTGGTATCTTAGCGTTTCCACTCTGACCCAGCATCTGAGTCTTCTCCATGAAATCCTGCAGCAACGTGGACTGATACTGTGGTACATTTTTGGCCTTGGCCGCCTTCCGAAAGCTTCCTTCCACTGTTGTGTCCTCAGTATCGCTTTCCACCCGCTTGATGGCCGCCTGCACAAGGTTGGGTAGCTCATTGTCGCTGGAGGAGATGCCAATGTCCAGAGCAGGTTTGGTGGCTGACTGGGCCGCCTGAGTTATGGCCGTTAGTAGCAATCGAGGTGCCCTCTGCTGGTGCACCTTCAGCGGCAGGTCGTCCTCCGAGTCCGAGGAGAAGGCAGGGGCCTGTGCGCTGTGCTTCTTGATCTTAGATCTGGACAAGCTCTCTAATTTGTTAATCGCACTAGTGCTGGGAATCTTCTTGCGCTTGACTTTCACTTTCTTACTGCTGCCCGCTTTGTTCTTCGCCTCGGAGCAGCCGCCGGACTCGGTGTCCTGCGTGGACATCTTTCTAGGCTTCAGGGGATGCTTCTTGGGCGCCACTGGTTTGCTTGCTGCGGCTGCTGCGGTTCCAGCTGCAGCAGGGGCCATGGGCTGGGGCAGGGGCGGGGGGCGGATGGCTGAGATTCTCATGCGCAGTCCGTCGGCATCCGAACGTTGCACGCTGAACTGGGTGGCGGATTTCGTGGACTTCGATTGGCTCGATTGATCCGTAATGGAGTCGGTTTCCTTTTGGGTAAGACGCATTACACATTATATTCCATTACGTACTACTAGGTGGACTTGCCTCATTTTCACTGCCGGATTCTTGTGCGCGTTGCGTTTCCAGAACCTTTGCTGCTGCCGTCTCATTTTGACCACTGCTCATATTTTGGAGTAGTCGCTTGGGAGCTGCAATAGATTAGCCAAGGTGTTTTTTGTTGCTCTTTTAATCGCATTTAAAGTAGGTCAAAGCACGCACAGCGACGACGTCCGAAAAAAAACACCTATGTATTCCCCACTTACGCTTAGTTATTTTCTTGGCACTAGCACTCGCGGCTTTAGTCGAAAGTTGTGTTTTCAGTGAGCGGGCGAACTATTATATTACACATCGCATTTGCACTTTTCTTGCGCCTTTGGCCGTGGCTTGGATATATCCCTGCTTCTAAAATGGCGCCGTTTTCACTTTTCCCTGCTGCTGCTGCTTTGTTCGAGACACCCGACGACGACGACGCAACGTTGCAACGCCTTTCGCATGTGGCATAGAAGAGCGCGTTGCTAAATTCTAACAATTTCGGGTCGCGGGCAGCGGTGGGTGCGCACTTTAATTGTTATTGTTAATGTGGCGCAACAACAAAAAGCCAGACAACCAAAAATGTACGAACATAAATAAAATTTATTTTGGCCTATTTCTGTGTGACCGCCTATAAAAAAGAACTAAATCGCAAAAAAATACTAGATCTAACGCAAATGCATATCGATACATTTAGAATGCCTGACGATAGTCAGAGTTGTAAAACATGTGCAAGAATATAAAAACGATGAGAATTAAAAAATCATTTGGAATAATAAACGGTAATAATCAGTCATACGTTATTATTGTTATATCGGGTCTTAGGTGAGACGTAATAGCAAAATTTACATCTGGAAAGGATCAATTATAAACTAACTGAGCTTTTTCAATGCTAAAATCATCAGTTACCAGGTAACTGGTTACCAACATACGATAAATTAGAATGAACACCGTTGTTTGGTTGGCGAGTATATATTTTTAAATTGTAAATGGAAATACAATGTTCAATTACTAGGATATCAACTTTCCAGGCTTTTGAATTTGTAAATGGAAATACAATGTTCAATTACTTGGATGTCAACTTTCCAGGCTTTTGAGTACAATTTTAATTGTATATTGACTTTACGATATAGAATTACAAATAAAATGTTTAAATCTCAATAATAAATTTTAAATATTCGCCTGCCAGCGAAGCTTATGAATGTATATCGGCCGAGGGAACCAAAATTAAAATTTGATCTATTTATATTGTTGATATTGTTCTACCTATTTCTACATCTCAAAGTATTAAAAATACCACACCTGCGGGGTATCTCGTATTGAATTTAAACAAGTTGGCAGCCCTGCATAAATATTGCTTTGTGCAAGTGGGTACACACTGCTCCGACCTGCTCGGCATAAACGATTTTGTTTTATTTTCATAAAAACGCAAAGGAAATGAGTGGCAAACCTGCAAAATCGAACAGCGGCTCCAGCAGCATGCTGTACGGCTCCAGCATATCGGCGGAGTCCATGAAGGTGATAGCGGAGAGCATTGGTGTGGGCTCTTTGTCTGACGACGCCGCCAAGGAGTTGGCTGAAGATGTGTCCATTAAATTAAAGAGGATTGTCCAGGATGCGGCAAAATTCATGCATCACGCCAAGCGACAGAAGCTCTCCGTGCGGGACATTGACATGTCTTTGAAGGTGCGTAATGTGGAGCCGCAGTATGGATTTGTGTCCAAGGACTTTATCCCCTTCCGCTTTGCATCCGGCGGCGGTCGAGAACTTCATTTCACTGAGGACAAAGAGATCGACCTTAACGAGATCACATCGAGCAACTCGGTGAAGATACCTCTGGACCTCACGTTACGTTCCCACTGGTTTGTAGTGGAGGGGGTTCAGCCAACTGTGCCAGAGAATCCGCCCCCGCTCTCGAAGGACTCCCAGTTCCTGGACTCTGTCAATCCGGTGATCAAACTAGACCAGGGCCTAAACAAGGATGCGGCTGGCAAGCCTACCACCGGCAAGATCCACAAGCTCAAGAACGTGGAGACCATCCATGTCAAGCAGCTGGCCACGCACGAGTTGTCTGTGGAGCAGCAGCTGTACTACAAAGAGATCACAGAGGCCTGTGTGGGCTCCGACGAGCCGAGAAGGGGGAGGCGTTGCAGTCGCTGGGCTCGGATCCTGGCCTACACGAGATGCTGCCCCGCATGTGCACGTTCATCGCGGAGGGCGTTAAGGTCAATGTGGTACAGAACAATCTGGCACTGCTCATCTACCTCATGCGTATGGTTCGGGCACTGCTGGACAATCCGTCCCTCTTTTTGGAGAAATATGTAAGGATTAATGGTTAAAATATTTACTCAAATGCATATTTAAACGTTTATCCCTTCCCAATAGCTGCACGAACTGATACCCTCTGTGATGACTTGTATTGTGTCTAAGCAGCTTTGCATGAGACCGGAACTGGACAATCACTGGGCGCTGCGAGACTTCGCCTCCCGCCTAATGGCCCAGATCTGCAAGACCTTCAACACACTGACCAATAACCTGCAGACACGTGTGACGCGGTAACTTTCCTTCTCTTGGATCAATTTTAATCCATATAACTTTGTTGTAACTCCCTCTACTCCATAGCATCTTCAGCAAGGCCCTGCAGAATGATAAGACCCACCTATCTTCGTTGTACGGCTCTATTGCAGGGCTATCGGAGCTGGGTGGCGAGGTTATCAAGGTGTTCATCATACCCCGCCTTAAGTTCATATCAGAACGCATTGAACCCCATCTGCTGGGCACCTCTATTAGCAACACAGATAAGACTGCCGCCGGCCACATACGTGCTATGCTGCAGAAGTGCTGTCCACCGATCCTCAAGCAGATGCGAGCTGCTCCTGATACGGCGGAGGAGTACAAGAACGACTTTGGATTCCTTGGACCTTCGCTGTGCCAGGCGGTGGTAAAAGTACGTAACGCGCCAGCCACGAGTATTGTGACCCTTTCGTCCAACACCATCAACACGGCTCCCATCACGAGTGCGGCCCAAACAGCCACCACCATCGGGCGAGTGTCCATGCCCAGCACGCAGGGACAGAGACAGGGGTAGGAAATTGCTTAAGCCCGTCGTAGACTTATTGTTTCTACACTACTATTCTTTCCTCTTCAGAAGTCCCGGGGTGTCGGCATTGCCTCAGATTCGGGCCATTCAGGCCAACCAGCAGCCGCAAAAGTTCGTCATAGTCACTCAAAACTCCCCGCAGCAACAGGGCCAGGCAAAAGTTGTGCGTCGGGGCAGCTCCCCGCACAGCGTTGTCCTCTCCGCGGCTTCCAATGGGGCCAATGCCTCCAACTCGAACTCGAATTCGAGTGCCAGTGGGAGCGGTAACAGCAGCAGCCTCATCGCCACTCAACGGATCAGCGATAATGTTAGTGCCGGTACCGAAGCGCCAGCAGTTGATGGTATAACAGTTGAATCTTTCAGAGCACCCTAGATGCCAGCTCACTGATTATTGAGACGGATATTGTGCGCGCCCCGCCAGAGCTGGACGATCTCTCGCACTTGGAGTAGCTAACATTAGCACTTAGTCTGAATAAACATTTCGTATATGCAATAAAACTAAGAAACAATGGAAACCTACCCCAAAAGTACACACTACACAGGCAAAAAAAAATATATATATATACAAATAAGTTTAATCTCTATCTTTACAGATTTTTTTATATGAGACTATGGATTGAAATACAAAAATATGTTAATGTTCTAGCTAAATTTGTATTCACATAATTGTGGAACTCACTTTGTCTAGTGACATCTATTTTCAAGAACCTTTATGGAGCGCAAATAAAAATTTTGGTTTTATTATTTTTTTGTTTATATACATATATATTTTTTTAATTACAAAATAGGTTGATTTTGTTTTCCGTGCACTCCATTCAGTTTAAGTACATTCACAAATCCGACTACGCAGCTACCACGCATGTGCGAACCTGCGCCCCTCAAGTGGCTAGCTATTGATTTTTCACCACATTCCACGGCAGACGCACAAAGAGCTCTGCTCAACAATCCTTACAGTACATACCGATACTCATCGCAGGACAAAGGCACAGCGCGGAGCTTTTCTTGCGGAATTTTCAACTATCTTAGGATATCTCTAATCGAAAAAACAGGAAAAATGCATGCCAGATTTGCGGATCCCGAACCTGCGTCTCCGGACAGCCCCAATGGAATTGAAACGGAGTCCCTGGAAGCCCGAATTGAGGCGTTCAAACAGAACCCCCAGAACATGGACGCTCTGCGGGAAGTGCTCGATGATGTGGTCCAGCGAGCTGAGACGGAGGCCAACAGGCGAGCTGTTGAGAACCAGAAATCGCAACAGGTTGACTACGCATAATAGAATTCAAACTACATTGACTAAAACACTTGTAACTTCTATTTTCAGGGCAAGGAAAAACGACAGAGTAAGTACCCGCCGTGGCATCCGATAACATTTTTTGCTTTTTAGCTTCTGTGATATTTACCCTATGGCCGTCGCATCTTGGCTTAGTGGGCTCCTTCGCGCCTTGTAGGCTGCGTGTGAGTGAAAATCGAACAAAAAAGGTTTAAAGGTTGCTCAAAGCCTTGAAAGTGTGCCAAGAATCGAGTGCACCAAGCGTACAATGTAGTTTTCCAAGTGCTTTGTGCTGCGTTGACAAAGGATCAGAGTTCGCGATGGGTTTATGGGTCCATACCTTAGTGGTGTCATAGATACAGTTCACAGAAAAGCATGAATCGATGGTTAAAAAATGTATACACTGAAAGTGTATATATTTAATGCATAATATATACATACTTATGTATAATTATTTTTGAAATTTTTGCTTAAGTCCAAGTGGTCAAGTCACCTAGTGAACGAACCGGTCATAATTAAACGAAACCATTAGACTCAGAATTATTTATTGAACGTTACATTTCATACTTTGATCAAAAATTTCTTTTTCACCGTCAAAAATTAAATAAGCAGTTATTTAGTTTTGGATCCTTAATTTTAGTACTCTTTTAAGCCAATGTACAAAGGGAAAGTACCAATAAATTGTCTATGATCTTGGCCATTGGTCGACTTTAATCCATACCAGGAGCTTAAACAAGTGACCTTAATGGGCTTGATCAAGTGATAGAAGCCATTTGCGGCGGAAGGTTCAGTAATTAATACAAAATTTCCCCCTTAACTAATGTGCCAGCTCGATTGCATGACCATATTTTGTTGCACTTAACTTGTCTTTTGCCTTCTCACTGATCTTGGTTTTCCTTTTTTTCGTATTTTTTGCTCTTTGCATGATGCACTAATCTCTCAGGTTTCGCCATACCAGATTTTAAGAACGGCAAGGTGGTGAACCGTGCCCGAGGATTCGTGGTGCGTATCTTTGATGCAATCTGCAATTGTGCCAACAACAACGCAGCGGCGGCCACGACGCGCTTCAAGCTGAGGAGCAACAGTGGAGGAGGTGGCGGAGTAGGAGGAGCCTCTGGGAATGGCAAGCGACAGCAGTCCCAGGACGAGCCGGAGACCCTGATCCTAACCAAAAAGAAACCCTCCGAAGGAAAAAAGAAGAAAGGCGTCAGCATGGCCGATGACGTTCAGGCTGGAGTTCGACTAATGGACTAAGCTAACCATAAAGGATGATAGTGATCCTAACATAATCAAAACTATAACCATTGCCCATCTCCGCCCCACGAACACAATCTGTAGAACATAAACAAAAATCTTGCGTCATCGTAAATCCTAAAGGTTTTTGAGGGCCTTGCCCAGAAGCATTTTCTTTGCTCAAAAGTTAAAGCACAAACAAAATTCCATTTTGTCTTCCCCTGAAGACCGAAGTTATCATATAAGATATTAAGCCTGAAGCGTTTCCAAATCTAATCAAGTCTAGCATTCTAAATCACTATTTATATTCAGTTGAAAGTATACAGAGTAATTTTAGTAATTTTCTTTATTATCAAATCAATTGTATTTATTTAAAAGAAAACGTTACAAATTGTAATGATTATCATATTATCAATCCGAGAACCAAATATTATCTGTAGGTGCTTTTAACATTTTAAGAAACATGTGATCCAAAATATGTGTGTTTGTGGAATTCATATTGTTCAATTTTATTTTGAAATTATTTCGATTTGGAAACGCTGGTGGGACAGCTTTAGCTCTATACTTTATAATTTGTAAAACCTAAATGTGATCCCCGATGGAAATTTAAGCAAAAGAACTCGAAGCACAAGCCACTACGTGGTTAGTTAGGGAAAGAGAAGTGTCGTATATAGGATATACATGTCTTACTTAATCTTCGAGGCTATCCCACGCACAACACAATCAAATGTAGACGTTACAGAATCCCAGGTGGTAACAATGCCAAGTTGAACAACAGGCTGGTCAATCTCCACCTAATTATAACTGTACGATATATCAAATTATATACCAACATATATGTATGTGTATACCTAGGCGTGTGCCGCGATTCTATTTAGATGGGTGTGTAGTAGTTACAAAATATTTTCAAAACCAGCTAGCAGAAGGTTCAATATACAAGCATGAATGTGTACTGATTTTATATACAATGTAACTAACTAACTATTATATACATACGTGTTTAGACTTTAGTTAATCACACTGAGCCACCTCCTAAATGCCGCACAGGTTTCCACCAACATCCTCCTCATCAACGTCACCGAAAACCACCACAAAAACACGCTCTATACCGATATATTTTGTGAGGCCCTTTTTGAGAGATCTATAGAGACACTATTCTATACCGAATCCGAAACTTAAGGAAATTAGTATGAGGAATAAATAGCTAACGGGAGATTGATATCTTTGTACACGTATGTATTTGCAAGGCAACAATTTTGTATGAGATTTCGCATTTATTTTGTAACCTCCCAAATGCAAAGATCTGCCTGAGTTTAAATGTGTTGCTAAATGAAAAAGTCAAGAGAATAATTATAAACTATAAAAGTATAAGTATGCGTAATGCAAATATAACACTGTTGTATTTAGTTAACAAATATCAGCAATAAAGAGTAACAATGTTTGGAATCAAATCGAGAGTTTCGTTTTTTATTAGTGGTTTAACACTTCAAGCCTAGTGCATTTTGCGCAAATCTTTTTTCTTATTATTTATTGCATTATATAGGATCGAGACTATTTTAGTTTGAATAATCGGGACATCGGAATTTTTTTATTAACCATCCAATTAAATATCGGTTTCCGCTGGCTCATTCACAGAATATGAAGAATAGAAAGCGTTACGCTCAAGAGCTGCTCCAGAACTCGATGGAAATTTGTTTCACCCCAGTGAGTTAATCAAAATGAACTTTATTAGAATTATGAATTTTAGAAACTGTCAAGATGCGAACTTAAAAAATTCTTTAAAATGTGGCCTTTCTTGAATCCTTATACTTTAACCTAAGGCCACTTGAAATTTCCTTCGGAGTTGTTAGCCAGGCATTTGGCTGTTTGAAAAACCCTTTCGCACGACTCCGTGAATGCTTTATCTGCGAATAGTTACCAAAGCTAAGAACACCAAAATAATTGCAAAAATCAAACATCACTTACGCGCATCCCTGCAGTTCTCCACCGCCCGTTTGGATTGCTCTATCATCTCTGTCGGAACCAGGTAGGGGAGCTGTGCCAGCGCCTTTGCGGCATTGAACTCTCCTTTTTTATTTACTGTGCCCGCCATCAAGGATATGCACTTTGTATAGCACTGAAAAAAAAGTTCAATTAAGTGCCAAAATATAGAAATATTCTTAAATACTAATATACCTTTAAAGATTTCTTTTCAAATATATTATAAAAAAAAGGTCAAAGGTAGAGCTTTGTCTCTACTGCTCACCATTAAGTCATGTGTTGGATCGAAATTAAAATCCCCATTCCGGAGCCGATCTAGATCCTCTATACGAAGCTTAAACTTGGGGGCACAGCCATTTCTTAGCATATCCAACGACGACAAAAACTGGTCCATAGTCATGGTCATTCCTGGCTCCAGCATGACCAGAACCTGCAGGACAATGGCCAACACGGCGAAGGATCGACGTTTCCAAAGCTGCATGGTGGCGGGAACAACAAATGTCGAATATTCTACAACAGGGAACCCTTATAAAGTCTTTATGGAGTTGTACAGGTGGCAATTAAATGCCAGGGTGCAGCTCCGGTAATTAACAACCCACTTGCACGCCATTTTCAACCAGTTATCAAATCGAAAACTCCATGCGAGAAATGTACACCTTGGTACTCTTTATACTTACCTTGTTTTCTCTTCTCATTCGTTTTATTAAAATAAAACGTAAGGTTTATAATTAAAAACATTATGTAGTGGAAGTTTAATTTAAGACACCTTAATGTTGTCAAGATGCCATTCCCATGGCTTCTTAAAATCCTCTTTTGCACAACCTAGTTCTATTAACCTAAGGCCATCTGAATAATCCTTCTCCATTGGCGGCCAGGCACTTGACTGTTTCGTAAACCCTTTCGCAGGGCTCCTTAAATGCTTTATCTGCGGATATAGCACAGGTTTATAAAATCGGATAGACAGGTCAAAGATCAAAGCTTTACTTACGCGCATCCCTGCAGGCCTCCACTGATCGCTTTGACATATCCATCATCTCCGTCGGAACCAGATAGGGAAGCTGTGCCAGCGCCTTTGCGGCATTGAACTCTCCTCTTTTATTAACTGTACCGGCCATTAGGGATATACATTTTGTATAGCACTGTAAGATATTTAATTAAGAGCCAAACGAAACTGTATGTAGACGGTAAAAACTGGTATCCGCTAAAGTATTGCCATTCTTAACAGTATCAGCGGACGAGTCGATCTGAATGTATACATCAGTCCTTACGCAAATTAGTCTCACCGTTTCAGAGATATCTTGTTCTGTTTTTAAATATTTCGAATTTGTTGCTCCTGACTCACCATAATATCGTGTGATGCCTCAAAATTAAAATCACCTATGCGCAGGCGATCGAGGTCTTCAACACTAACTTTGAACTTGGGTGCACACCCATTTCGCATCATGTCCAGCGAGCTCATGAACTGATCCATACTCATTGCCATTCCAGGATCAGGTAGCAGTAAGCATAGCACTTGCAGGACGATGGCCAACAAGGCGGACGAATGCCTTTGCCAATACTTCATAATAACGGAAACCTAATACGGCGATAAGCCTCGGAAGTCCAGGCTTTATATAGAGATTACTAAACTGGGCAGGTGGAAATTAACAATTAAACTATGAAATATTACCCTATAGGGCAACAAAACTCTAAAATGCACGCCTTTTATACCTCAAAGTGCAATTAATGTCAGACTTAACAACATACCTGTCTATATCCCTCTAATTATAAGAGTGCGATGTGTCAATTTAGGTTAATAACTTTTCTGATGGGAGTAACAAGGTGTCAAACGGTTTTAAATTAAATACAATTTACACTTTTGAATAGTCAAAAGTTTGCATGAACAGAATAGCCGATCTAGTCAGTTCCCTCGGTCCCTGTGTCTGTTTCAACGCAAAATAGTCCTATGAACGAACAAGCTCTATTCGATATTTGTAGGAACAGACCTTATTGGTCCACCATATCTTATTGTTATTATAGAAAGCATGGGAAATTGTTAAAAACAAATAATAAAGCTTTGCTTATCCATCATGGTATCTAGAATTTTGTCCAACTCTAATAAATGGTGTCAAGTATTCAATTAATTTGTTCATGGACATTTTACAGCCTTTATAATTAGCTATTTATATTGTAATTATAAGAAAGGGCTTCAAGTACTTCTGCACATTTTTATAAATGTAATTAGAAAATTTGAATGTGAGTTACTAATAATAAGTAGACATAAATATTTATTATAATTAAGGTTTTAATCCGTGATGTATATGTACAATTGTATGTAGTTTTTAAACCTTTAATGACACAACCTTTTTGATTCCAGTTTTCGCATGCAACTTGTAACTTATTACTGTTTTGATGTGCAAGCGTCAAATGGCAATTAAATTTATAGAAAATGAGAATCGTAACGTCTTACTTCTATGGAAGCAAAACCCACCGAACCGGATCATTAGCAATGCACATCACGTTTCCCTTGCCTGGAATTGGAGAATCGGAGTGGATCATCAATTCGAAACTGTGCCCCTGGAGAGATGTTGCGTCACACTTGGTGTCGCTCAGTTGTAGTTTGCAATATTTTGATAAAATACCATGCGAAATTGGGTCTATCCTCATAAGCATTAAAGGGGACCGGCATTACAGCTCTCTCTGTCAAGTCCGGAGATAAGCCCAAAGCCGAGAGCACTCGGAGTACTTTAGCATTCATGATAACTACGAAGCACATATATAAGTGGCAGTTCCTATCCCAGAGAGCTTTTGTCTGGAAACCGCTTGCAGCTACGCATAGGGACTGGTTGTCGCTTTGTAAGCCAGGAAAACCCAAAAGTGCCAACGCACCGTACAAGTTCATAAACAGGGCCCAAGGTAAGACATAGCCAGCTGATCCGAGCTGAGTAGCTACACCAAGTAGTTAGCTATATTTAGTAGGATCAGTAGCGTCGGAGAATTGCGCAGAGCAGAGCTTGTTCAACTGTCAACGGAAGCAGCACGCGATAACAAAAGTCAAATCATTCGCAAAAAGTCTCAAAATGAAGGCCTTTCTCTGGGCTTTTGTGGCTTTACTGGGGTTTGTGAGCTGCCAGCAGGTGTTGGCCAAAACTGTGACCACTGATTACATAGGTAAGCGTATATTTTTAAGCTTATGAATAAAATAAACTAAGGCAATTACTATTAAGACCTTCTCGACCTGAACGATAATGACGAGTTCCAATGGGGAGAGGCCGAAAACCAACAATACAGCCAAGGAAATCACAGCGAGGAAAATGGCGTTGTGAATTATCTGTCACGACATCGTCTAAACAAGCGGCAAGCTCCCACCTCCCAGTTGCTGGTGAGTCATCGTATCACAGGTTTGTGTCTTCATAATGATAACCACATTTATTATCTATAGGAGAATAAGGATTACGGTCCATGCAGCACTTCGCTGGGCGAATCCGGTCGCTGTCGACACATCATCTACTGCCGCATGCCGGAGCTCAAGAATGATGTATGGCGCCTAGTCTCGCAGCTATGCATCATTGAGAAAAGGTAGGTTGAGTGATCGAACCCTTACTCAAGTTTATCAAGATCGTACTCAATCATAGTTCTAAATCCTTTTTCTCTGTAGCTCCATCGGAATTTGCTGCACTGATCAGATGACGAGCAACCGCTTTAGTCCGCAGATCGTAACCAGTCAGGATCAGGAGGAGCCGCGCATCGTAAACAAACCGGAGCAACGTGGCTGTGGAATCACCACTAGGCAATACCCCAGGCTTAGCGGTGGTCGGCCAGCCGAGCCGGACGAATGGCCCTGGATGGCGGCCCTGCTAAGGGAGGGCCTGCCCTACGTGTGGTGCGGTGGTGCTCTGATCACCGACCGTCATGTCCTCACCGCCGCCCACTGCATCCACGGCATGAAGAAGGAGGACATCTTTGTCCGTTTGGGCGAGTACAACACTCACATGGTGAATGAGACGAGGGCGAGGGATTTCCGCATTGCCAATATGGTCCTTCACATTGATTTCAATCCACAAAACTATGATAACGATATTGCCATTGTCCGGATCGACCGAGCTACTTTGTTCAACACCTATATCTGGCCAGTTTGCATGCCACCGGTAAATGAAGATTGGACGGGCAGGAACGCTATTGTTACGGGTTGGGGCACTCAGAAGTTCGGTGGGTCTCATTCCAACATATTAATGGAGGTAAGTATATATTATTGTTTAGTAAAGATGAAAAAAGGGGTTCGCTCGGACATTGACAGTGAGAAAACGAACTTAATAGCTTACCGTCAATTTTCAATTCTATATAGTAGATGTATAAGTACATATTCATTTTTATTAACATGCCATATAATTTTTATGCACTTGAACTTTTCGGGTTTACTTCGCCTATAGGGTCTCTCGAAAATATTGTCCTATATTTATTTCTAGCTCTGCTTGCTATTTGCAAGATCTGCTAATATTTATTGCTCTAAAAGTTCCATTTGCTTTGGTGACCGAGCAACTAATTATTTTAATATGTTTATAAACTCTTATAAGGCAACCTTATTGTTTCAATATAGAATCTGATACGCAAATCCTCGCCTTTTTTTAGGTCAACCTACCTGTTTGGAAGCAGTCCGAATGCCGCCTCGCCTTAGTTCAGCATGTTCCGGACACCGCCTTGTGTGCTGGATTTCCCGAAGGTGGACAGGACTCCTGTCAGGGCGACAGTGGAGGACCGCTGCTAGTTCAGCTGCCCAATCAGCGTTGGGTCACCATTGGCATTGTGTCCTGGGGCGTCGGCTGCGGCCAGCGCGGCCGTCCAGGTATTTACACCCGTGTGGATCGGTACTTGGATTGGATTTTGGCCAACGCGGATGCCTAAGCTATAAGCCGAAGTTTCTATTGTTTGTCAGTGCATTCAATTTACTTGGCATTATGTTTAACAAATGCTACGACCTAAATACACGAATTAACCTGATAACGATTGATGTCAATATTAAAAATATGCACACCAGAACCCCGGAACAACCCCCTAGCTAAGACTATAGTTAATGCCAAGTCACCGGCTTGGCTGCGACCGCACTGGAAACCTTTCGCAGTGGAGGCTCATGCTCGACTTCGGCTTTGCTCGTCGTTTTGGTAGCTTCGGAGAAGGCTATTTTGTAGACGTCGTCGTAGGTGGAGGCAAAGTGCACCTCTAGTCCCTCGGTTATATACGAAGGCAGCTCTTCAAAGTCCTTCTTGTTATCGACGGGCAAAATAAGGCAGTTGACACCACTACGACGAGCCTGAATGAGGAAAGATGACTATTTGTAATCCCCAACAACATGGATTTGTAGTTTTAGCTTACGGCAATAGTCTTCTCTTTGATGCCTCCAACGGGCAGAACTTTTCCCTTCAGCGACACTTCTCCAGTCATCGCCACATCTTGCCGCACGGGCATTCCCCTGGCCAAAGAGACCAGGGCTGTGATCAGGGTGATGCCAGCGCTGGGCCCGTCTTTGGGTGTTGCGCCCTCAGGCACGTGTACGTGTATGTGCCTATAAAGACCAGGAGACGTTTTAAAATTTTAATAAGAAAAAGTGGATCCGATGAATGGAAAAACCATTTTGTCTGTGAGTAGAATATTATAGCTTTTGAATAGAACTTACTCTTGCTCCAGGAATAGATTCTTTGGATCCAGCGAGAACAAAAAGTTTCGCGCCACGGTCAACGCAATTTGGGCCGACTCCTTCATGACATCTCCCAGATTGCCGGTAATGTGCAATGTGCCACCAGCAGCAGGCGATTCTGGTTTCTCTGGATAACGAATATGGCGCTTGGAAGTCTCGATGTAGAGCGATGAGCCTCCCATGGCCGTCCACGCCAAACCCATGACAACGCCCACCGGCGTTGTTTCGTACATACGATCTGAGCTAAATACCTGCTTGCCCAGGAATGTCGTCAGATTGTCCGCGTTGACCGGGAAGTTCTCGCCCTCCTTCTTGACCAACCGGAAGGCCACCTTGCGAATGACCTTCTCGATATGCTTCTGCAGATTGCGAACGCCGGATTCTCGGCAATAACTGCGAATCAGCATGTTCAATGCGTCCTCGGTGATGTTTATCTGTTTTTCCGTCAATCCGCAGTCTTTCATAGCCTGCGGCATCAGGTATTGACGAGCGATAGCGATCTTTTCCTCCGCCACATATCCAGACATCTCAATCAGTTCCATGCGATCCCGCAGGGGCTCGGGGATGGTGTCGATCACGTTGGCCGTGCAGATGAAGAGCACACGCGACAAGTCCACCGGAACGTCGAGATAGTGGTCCAGGAAATTGGAGTTCTGTTCAGGATCGAGGAGTTCCAACAAAGCCGAGCTTGGATCGCCCTGATAACCCCTTTATAAAATTAAATGTTATATAACAATGGATACTATTATGGGCATGTTTTCCTTACTTGCCAATCTTGTCCACCTCGTCGATGAGCACCAGTGGATTCTCGATCTTGGTCTTCTTCAGGCACTGAATCAACTTGCCTGGCATGGCGCCGACATAGGTGCGTCGGTGTCCCTTGATTTCGGCCACATCTGTCATTCCGCCCACACTGAAGCGGAAGTACTCTCGGTTCAAGGCCCGAGCGATGGACTTGGCTATACTGGTCTTGCCCACTCCGGGTGGACCATGGAAGCACAATATCTTTCCCTGAGTCGTGCCCTTTAGGGAACTGATGGCAATGAATTCCAAAATACGTTTCTTAATGTCCTCCATGCCATAGTGGTCTTTGTTCAGGATCTCCGTGGCCTTATCTAGGCAGAGGTTTTCGGTGCTTATGACTCCCCAGGGCAGGGAAGTAAGCCAGTCGAGGTAGTTTCGAGTTACACTACGTATTGAAGGATTATTTGTTTTACAATAATATTTTGTCTATTAAGCATATTCTTAATTCTCACTTGAACTCAGAGCTGTGACTCTCCAGGAAGTTTAGCTTGGTAAGCTCTTCGTCTATCACTGTCATTATGCCTTCAGGAACAGTTTTATCCTTTAGTTTTTCGCGATACTTTTCGCCAATGGCGTCCTTGTCGTCTTTTTCGATGCCCAGTTCTTTTTTGATTACCTTCAGCTGCTCCTGAAGTATATATTTACGGTGCTGCTGCTTGACCTTCTCTTCCACTTCGCGACCAATCTTTTGCTGCAGTCGCGACAGTTCTAGCTCCTTCTTCAGCAGAGTCAATGCCAGCTGCAGGCGTTCTGGGATCTGAAAACCAAATATAACTTCAGAAATACATTACAGAGTTGAAGACACTCTCTATTACATCCGTTTCTTCGAGGATCTTTTGAAGCTCAGCGGGCTCGCCAGCCGACAGGGAAGCACCCAAATCGCAAAGATAAATTGGATTGTCAACAATTCGTTGGTTCTGATGCAGCATCTGCTGGAGACTCTCCCTAGAAGTTAACAGAAAAGTGCGATAAGAATGCCACCCGGTTTCTATTTGAAAGTGACTTACCTATACAAGGGATTCATTGTAATAATATCCCGAAGAGTCTTGATTATTTCCTGGGTCAAGGCCTTAACTTCTTCGGTTTGCTTGTAGATCGGTTGCTTAATGTTTTCAACTTCCACAATAAGTACTGGCAGTGGACTCGTCGTTGTTTTTTCGGCAACTCCTTCACCATCAGCCTCAGCAATAGCCTCGGCTTCCAATTTATTTTCCTCCGTGGGTGGCTTGGGCACACTCACGTGCTCGACTTTGCCTGACCTCAATGGCGGCTCCAGTGTTTCTTTCTGAACCATTTCCTCCTGGGCAGCCGATTCGTTTAATTTTCCAGCCTGTCGTCTTGGGACGCGGCCACGGGGCTTACGGGTGGACTCGTGTCGCGACTTCACTGGCGCTGCCTCGGCTTGATCAGTAGATTGATCTTCAGCTGGGATGTTTAATTTAATATTAAATAGTGGATAATGCAAAGTTGTCATTTTCACTAAGATCAAGAACATATGTATGTCACAACATGTGGGCGCTTAGTGTATGTTTGAAGCTTACCGGGCTTGGGAGATGGCAGATCCTCGATAACCTGTCCAGTGATCCGAATGCGTCGGTGAGCAACAACAACCATGCGCAACTTGTCGCCCAGATCCTGCAGCTCCTGAATTTGAGCAAAAGTGCCGATACTATAGACTTCATCCAAGTTGTGGATGAGCTCCTCCTCGCCATCGTTTTTTTGAGAAAGACGCCCACATAGGGTTGGTTAAGTTTAACTTTGCGTCGCAGCAATTCCATGACAATCGGATTGGAAACCTTGGGCAGAATAAATATAAGTATAGATATAGTTAACAATATTTTAACAATGGATATGCAATAATGTTACCTCCACAATCTTCATGAAGCGCGGAAAAAGTGGATTCTTGCTCATTGCCAACATCGGGACGTGTGGCCACACGTCCGGAACGACCAGTGTAGCCGGCAGCTGCGAATGCCGCTCGGCCATTAGTTCTATGCTCTGTCGGTCCACTTCATCAGCATCATCACGCTTTCGGCCGTAGAAGCGTTGCACCATCAGATTGGCGCCGTAGGAGCGCTGCAAGTGCGTCGTCCGATTACGGTGAAGATGGATAAGGGAGCTGTGAGTAGGCCGGTTTATGGACCATGCCGACGTCGAGGCGATGCCTCGCATCATAGGACGCACTCGGATAGCGCGAGCTAACATCCTAATGACAGTTTTAACTCGCAATTTACTTAGAAATAATTCAAAAACTATATAAAAACAACTTGCAGTCCAAATGTGTGAGGAGGTGATTATGTGACAGCGGACAATAAAATGACAGAAGCTGGCAGTGTTGGAAACCGATTGCACCGCTCTCCCGCACAGTGGGCACAGCAGCTGGTGCAAAATGATTTCACACGTTGGAGAAATTGTGAAATAATTTCAAAATACAGGTAGTCAAAAAACTATTCTAATTTGAGTTTTTAACATTATTTGAAGACAAATAAATTATTAATTAATTAATTAAAGGACAGCTGAACTTATAAATAAGGCTATCAAATATTTTGTTCGATTAATAAAATGTGGGTCGACATAATAAGCGTTTTACGTTGTATTAATTAATTAAATTTTTTATGTGTGTTAAAAGTGTGTCACTGAAAAAGAAATAGGTAAAACAATTTTTAATTTCGTTGATTCGCATCTCATATATTGGTGATATATGTATATGATTTTAATTTCATTAGCATCCATCGTCTTTTTAATAAGAAAGATTGGTAAATTAATGTACAACATAAATCGAAATGTAATAAAAATAAAATTTTTTTTTTTTTTTTTTTAATATATGCCAATTTCCTGAGATTTTAAATAAGATTTTACAATATTGTTGAACAAATTTTCTATTATATTATCCTACCGCTGTAAATTTATAAGAAACCTTAGAAAATTAAGTAAACAGTTGGTGTTTTCACATATAAATGATTTATGTCTATACAAACTGTATATACATTTTATAAAACCCGTATACCCATGTTTTCCACAAATACGGGGTATTACTACACTGGCGCATAATGACACTTTACACACTGTGTACCCAGTGTTGACAAGCGGTACAAAACAAGCGCGACAGGAATAAGCAGCAGAAAAGATTTTAGAAAACTTTATTTAACTGCATTTACCATGGTTTCGCGATTCGACCAACAGAAGACCAAGCACCAGCTCTTCCATGTGTCCCTCAGCCTGGCCACCATATTAATATGCATGACGTATATGCAATATCGTCGGAACTGGGCACATCTCGGAAGCTTCTGGGACTCGCTGATCGTTCCAATTGTGTTTATCGGTGAGCTCCTGAAAGTGGTGCTCGCGCGCTTCTACGGACGAATTGAGGATGGTGTCCTGACCGTGAAACAGCGCCAGAAGAAGGCCACATACTTTACACCGCGGGAGCTCCTCGGGGGCCTTGCTCTCCAGTTCCTCTGCACACTGTTGTATGCCTTTATCTGCATCATCCTGGGGGCACCGGTGCTAGGCAACTACGAGCAGACCTTCGTTCTGGCTCTATTGATGACACTGCTCACAGTATCTCCGACAGTGTTTCTTTTGGGAGGCGGTGGAGCCTTGCAAGTTTGCTTCTGCGAGAAACCGGACTTTGTGACCAAGTGCGAGGACACGGCGCTGAATCTGTTCAAGTACAACGCGCTGGGTGGTATTTTGGGGGCCTGGGCCGGCAGTGTGGTGGCGCCTCTGGATTGGGGACGTGACTGGCAGGCCTATCCCATACCAAACGTAATCGGAGCCCTTTTGGGTAGCGCACTCGGGAACATCTATGCCTGCACGCATGTCCTTTACGCTACGGCCCGGGTGTACATGACCAAGAAGCGCTCCTAAGTCAAACAATAAATGCTACTATTCTGCCACCAAGATTGTTACTTTGCGCTGCCACTGATATCCACAAAAGACAAACCTGCACTGAACCACGTCATCTTATCCATCTCGTCTAGTCAGCAGCTTAGGAATTACCAAAAAGCAATTAACATACTTTAATGTTATATATTTAAGCCTTTTATTAGAATCTAATATAAATGAATTCTTTTTTAAATCAATTAACTAATAAAATAACAAATTATGAATTTAATCACAAGCGATAAGGACATTTTGGTAATATTCAAAAGAATTTTTCTGATTTTTGGTTTGGTTTTAACTATAGTCTGTAAGTTGGTCAAACCAACTATGCCATAGTACCTCCCAGTCGCGAAATAGATTTAGTTTTTAAACCATTGGTATCCCAGATGTATTTGTAAATAAATTGTTTGGTCTTGGAGGATTTTCGGATACTTCCTAAACCAAAAAGAAAGGCAGAATGTTAAGTTTAAAAAACACAAGATTTTTGTTGGAGAACAAAGCCGATTGAGACAGACAATATATGTAATGATTTCCAAACAAATTTAGGCTTTAACCGCCATCACAAAACTCTCGTCCTCCAGCAAGCAACGTTGACCTACATAGTTATCATTTGGCTCCCAGTAGTCCTCTTCATCATCATCGGCCAGGGGCTCGCAGGCCTCTTCGTTATCAACAGCTCCATCGGGAAGAGGGAATTCTCGTAGCTTGTCCAGGGGCTCGTCTGATGACTGCCGTCTCCGCAGGAACACTTCCACTGGTGACGTGGGACAGTGGCCGGTTTCAAACAGTTTATAAAGCTTAATGAAATGCAGCCCGCTGGCCAATCGTAATCCCTCATCTCGGCCCACCAGGGCACTCCAACTTAAAACAAGAGTAGCATGAGGTATGTAGCCGGCAATGCTGGCGTTAAACTCCTCCGTGGAGATATTGATATTAAAGAATATCGTCTCCTCATTGGTGAGAAAGCTATGCGGATCATGTAACGCGGGCATGCCTTGCTCCACCTGCTGTGCGTGCTGTGCTGGCATTACCTTTAAGTGGGAAAGTCGGGATTGCAGCAAGGTTTTGATTGTTGGAATGTCTTGGAATTCTTCTCGTTTCCCTCGCTCCAGCAGGCGACACTGGAAATTACAGCATATGGAAGACTTGAGGCACTGCGCTCCCGCCTGTCCCGCACAGACTCCCATACGGTTCAAAACTATTGAAAACAAACAAAATAATAAACCAACTAGATATAGTAATTGCATTAATAGATTACCAAACAGCCTATCTGGATTTAGGTTGAATTCTTTGGAGTACAGGGAAACTGTGTTGATGTAGACCTCCGTTTTCTCCATCGAGTGCTGGTTCCTGACGGTCACATCCAGGCCCAGTTCATTCGTCACCGCATTGCTTACCACACATGTAGCCTGCGCTTGCACGCAACTCTCCACCTGGAGCTGCCATATGTGGCGGACAAGGCGATACTTGATCGGTGCACTGCCTCCGGCTGGCAACGAGTAATAGAAAAGCAGTCGAAGGGTAAATGGCCCAGCCTGATGGGGTGCCTGTAGCCACATGGAGATGGTATGGCCCTGCTGTGCATCCAACGCAGCTTGTCCGGGACGTTGCAGTAGTCCGAACACACGCTGTCCCCGGATCTCTTTGTCCTTAACGAGTTTCTCATTGGAAAGATTTCGAGTGGCTAAGAAAAGGTTCTCAGAAATTGACATAATTTTTCCAGTGATTTTACTTACAGCTCATCATGGCCAGCGGCATCTGACTGTGCCGTTCCAGAAATGACACACATCGCGGATTATCACAACCCAAATAGATTTCTTCAATCGGAGCAATGCCCAGATTACGAAGGGTCACAGAAACGGGTACAATTTCACCGGCCAAAAGTTGATTGGGAACGGGAGTAAAACTAACACTCATTGCGGGCTGTTGGGGAACCAATCTAATGGTCAGTCTATTATCCAAAACCGTCTGCGAGGATTGCTTGGCGTTGTTGGGTCTGATTTGCTGTGTCTCAAACTGCAACGAACCGAGTAGGCTTGCCGCCGGCTCTCCAATGGCTGCGACACGACAAACAACTCCGAGAATATTCAAGCGGCCTGTTAACTTGGGTGTGAGCTTGAAGTGCAACGTCTCCTCAGCTTGCTCGGCTAGTTCAATGGATGCCACGCAGCTGGTTTTAATTGCTGCTCCTACAGCTATTTTGCTGGCGCTGTCTGATGATTCCCCATATACGCAGGCATTTGAAAGGACCTCCTCGTTATTGTCCATTATCAGTTTCCACAGTAAGTCGATCTCGGTGAGCACTATTCCACAACGAACGCTGTTAGAAAGGGTTACAGCCAGTTCAATGGGTTCACCCTGAACAGCCACAGGGATTTCCGTTGCGGGCGTTTGCTTGGTATACAAATATCGAGACGGCTTAAAAACAAATGGCTTATTATTTGCCGCCGTAATAACGAGCATTTCCTCCATCTTGTTCCAGATAGTCTCATCGGCTGTCAGGTTCGAATTGATGTCAATGTTGGTAGCCGGCACTAAAGGCGGCAGAGCCGCAGGTGATTGCACTTGGGTGAGGACCCGAACGGAAGATTGTACCACTTGGGGCAAGGCGTGCGGTAATAGTCCCAGTTCAGGATTGCGTTTGAGAAGTTCCTGAAAGAAAAGTTTGCAATACAAGAATTTTTGTCAAAGTTCGTTAAAAAACTTACGTTCTGCGTTTGAATGTACTCCTTTAGGAAACTGCTCTGCTGCTGCGAACTTTGCAAACTTCCAGGCCTCAGCAAATGGGCAAAGGAATGACTGGCCTCCTCCAGTTGTTTCAACATATAGGCTTGCTTGGCCACTGTGTACTGAATGTGATCTTCCGCCAAGCTCCACTCGCGCTTCTGGAACACCTGATAGGCCTGCCGATAGCAACGATAGGCATGCTTTCTTTGGCCAGCTCTTGAGTACCGATTGCCGGCTAGGACAATGTGGAAGGCATATTTTCGATGCATGGGCGGTTGGGTGACCAGGAAACAGTAAGCCGCCTGCTCTAACAGCAGAGCTGATCGCAAATCGGACTCTTCATTTGTCATGCGTATCAGTTGCTTGGCTACATCGCCGTAGAGTCTGGCTGTTTTCAGGCATTCCATGCTAAGCAGCGTTGCCCGAGTGGCAAACTGCTGCAGTCTGTAAATAAATAGTATTTAGATATAATTTATGTGTTAATGTATATACAAAATTCAAGGACTCACTTGCACACAGTAAGATAGCACATAATGGCGTCTTCCATGTAGTCGTAGGTTTTGCGGTGGGCGGTGCCCAGCATGAATGCGGATAGGGCAGCCATTTCTAGGGCTCCTGCGTAGTATTGCCATGCCGAGTCTGCATTGAAGTCCCTCTTCGCCTGATGATATGCTTGGAATGCCAAGTTATAATGTCCGAACATGAAGTAGAGATCGCCCAACTTTCGAGTCTGCAGTTCAGCAGATTCGTTGGTATAGCTTTAAACATAAACAAATAAATCACTATTATAATAATGTGACTATCTTCGTAACAAATTCTTAAAATTGCTTCGAATTGTATTTTTTTTGTAAAAATATAAGGATCTGATCTATTTTTCAAAAAGTTCTCTTTTCCTTCTAAAAATTTTATCGAACTTAAACTATCATAGTAGGAAGAATAATAATAAAGTAAAGATATCTTACATGACTGCATTTTGATTGTTTGCTCCGGCTCCCGGCTTGCTGGTGACAAACCATCTCTTGGTAGCACTAAGCAAGGACTTGCTCACTCCCTTTTTATTAGTCACGCCCTCAGCCAAAATGGCCACCAGGTGCTCAATGTAGGGTATCAAGGCACGCACAGCGTAGTCTTGCACGAAATGGCGCAGGTTGTCGATGTCTCGGGTGGTCAGACAACCGCCGTGCGGGGCATCCGAATCTAAATCATTTGCCCATACATTGGGATTGATGGTCTGGGAGGCAATGCTCTCGCTGCTTATGCTGAATTTCGAGTTAATGGCCTCTGTGGCACTCTCCTGCATGGGACTTAGCGGATGCAGCATGGCCAGATCACTGTCCTGGGTGCTGTTCGCTCCTTCCAGAAGCTGGGACATTTGCATGGCGGGCATGCTGATAACAGAGACAGCCTCCTGCGGCGATTTGGGAGCGCTCAAGTCCGTGGAAGGTATATTCGGATCACCCTTTGGTTGCCTCTTGATAAAAGTTGCCCAGTAATCGGGGGTGTCAGTCGTCGCACTTTGACCATCCAGAGAGTTGATGGATACCAAGAAGCATTTGCTGTCCCCAAAAGTGGATTTAAGCAGCTCGAATCCCTGCTGCGCCTTGGACAAGTCCCCTTGGCTGGCCTCGTGCAGCACTACATAGCTATTCAGCACCTCGGTGGGATGAAACCACTTGGGCAGCTTCTGAGGGGTGATGCTCTGCATCTGTTGAACGCGTTGCCCCAGCTTATGAGCAGTCTCCACAATCTGGGGATCTGCACTGGACAGCACCAGAAGGCAGCTTAGGAGATGACGGGTGAACTCATGTTCTGCCGGAAATTGAACGGTCAAGAAGGTCTCACGCCATTGCTCGAACCAAGGTTCCGCCGTCGGCAACTCCAGGTCGATGTCAGCTGTGTATGAATAATGAAAATCAGCGTTAGTTTGTGGAGATAGGTATGTACTTTAAGGGTTCTCCCACCTATTGTGGCTAGTCTGGTCTTGTCATTGTGAGCATTTGTCACCGACTCGTTCAACATTTTTCTTGCCAACACGGGCTGTGGCGGCCGCCAGTCCACATCGCAGAAATTGAGGCGGAGTCCACGCACGGATACGCTCGTCCCGGAAACGTCCCGAAAGTGTGCTAAAAAAGGAATAATCAGATTTATTGTTTTTAATTTTATACTTTATTTTTGTATAAACTTCTTACAGAAGAATTATATATGTGTACTACATATAGTGGGAGTGATACACTTTCCAGAAGAGAAAAGCGGCTAACAACAGAAAAAAATTGGAAATAAACTTATACTCTCCAGAAAGGTGACTTTATTTTTATTAAAAACTGTTCCTTGTTTACCTCACCTCCCCACCCCACAACTAACCATCATTGGGCAACTTTGCGAACGGCTGCAGGAGCTCCACGAAGGACAGGTTGTTCCGGTGGCAGATCTCGTCAGCTTGTGGACTGGCCAGCACGCCGATCAGTGGCGAAAATATGTTCCTGATTACGTCGCGCGCATTGTAGTTTTGGCCCGTCAGGTGCAGCATTACTTTAATTATTTACAAAAGAAAAACCGAACACAAATTGGGGGACCTAGATCTGGACCTACTTGCGATAGTATTGTTGTGCAGACCTATCGAGTCCAAAACATGCTAGAGCTGGAAGTAAATCGAGTTTCAGTGAATCGATTATTTCTACAAAGTTTCAGAATTACAATTCGAATTGGAGGATTGATGGAGACATCAATGCTTTTTTTTTGCACCAAAGTTCAATTTATTTTTTGTTGGCAGATTATTTAAATATTATCGTTTTTTATTGGTAGCTTCCTAAAATATCACAATAAAAATAAAAACATTTTAATCATTACGCCACTGATAATGGAGCGATACATCGCTATTATTTCGAGTTCCTTCACTTGGCGGTGTGACTTTTCCCCGCCACAGAACGGTCACTCTGAAGCGCGGGAAAGCCATCAGCTGTCACCACAAATTGTGCGAAAACCAAGAAGTCGAGAGCAAATTGTACACAAAAAGACAAAAAGTTTCCAAAAGTAATAAAAACTTACCGCAGATCGTTATCTAAGCAATCTGCACTTTAAGTCACACCATATTGAGTTAATAGAGTGTTTTGCTAAAGAATTTCACGAGCACACGCAATTGCCGCAAAGAACAAAAGAAGAACCTGCTGGAAAAAACGCGCCGCCAAAGGCGTCTTGCTGCAAGTCTCCCACATATTTGCTAAGATCCCGAAGGTACAGTCACTGCCATGGCGAAAGTCCACATAACTAATGTGGTGGTGCTGGACAACCCGAGCAGTTTCTTCAATCCCTTCCAATTCGAACTAACCTTCGAGTGCATCGAGGAGCTGAAAGAGGATCTGGAATGGAAGATGATATATGTGGGATCGGCAGAATCAGAGGAGCATGACCAGGTGCTCGACACTATCTACGTTGGTCCTGTTCCCGAGGGCCGTCACATATTCGTTTTTCAAGCCGATCCGCCGGATGTCAGCAAGATCCCCGAGCCCGATGCAGTGGGCGTCACCATTGTGCTGCTCACCTGCTCCTACCGGGGCCAGGAGTTTGTTCGCGTCGGATACTACGTAAATAACGACTACGCTGATCCCGAGATGCGGGAGAACCCACCGCCGAAGCCGCTCTTCGAGAAGCTAACACGCAACATTCTGGCTAGCAAACCGCGTGTCACCCGCTTTAAGATCAACTGGGACTATGGGCACATAAATGGGAATGGGAACGGCATCGAAAACGGCCACGACGACTCAATGATGACCGATGGCCCGTCCACTTCGGAGGGAGCGGCGGTGGCTGCGGCACAGCAGGACGACGACAACAGCCTCGCTATGCCCATGGAGAACGGAATCAAGGCGCTAAACGAGAACTCCAACTCGCTGGCCATGGAATGTTGAAGATCTTGCTGGTACTCTGGCTGCTGGATGACCACGTGAACGCAAAAACACAACCTTTTTCCCGCGAATACACGCTACAATGGGCGCAGACCTGAGGAATTTCCGCCCGTCAATTAATGTAACCGACTCTCCTAATTCTCTCTCCCCCTAATTAAGTAAATATAATTTAAACGAAACAATTTAATATATATGTATACTTTAAAGTTAATCCTAAGTTTTGTTTTCCTTAGTTCGGACCTTGGGAGATTTGGCTTTTAAGGTACTCTTTTGGGTCTCGGACCACTTTTCGTTGTGTATGAGGTGAGTGATCAGAACACGCGGTTATTAAGAGAACCTCAGGTGTTGAAAAACATTTTATTTGTGTATAGCCATACGAAGATATGATTTTAATCAAAAAGTTATTGTAATAAGAGCTACAGCAGGCTTGCCGAAATTAGCTTTCTGGTTCTACGATGATAATGACAGCTTTATAATGTAGTCAAGCACAAGCAAAATTATCATTATTTCTATTCATTTTTCAATCTATTCAATATCCGCTGTAGGGAACAAGTATAAAACTAAAAATTCTGTTTGGCATAAAGGTTTTTGTGATTAATTTTGCGTGTATACATAGTGATCGCGTTCTTCAAACCTCGGTAGTCTCCGTAACTACATAAACGGCTGCTTACAGAGATCGCCCTGACAAATTCCAAGGAAATATAATTATTTCGCTGACTTATGTTGAAAATTTAAACTAAACATCAATAATTCATTTCGGCATTACTCTATTTTAATTATTTTAGATCTAAAACATTCAAAATCCCAAATTATTTGTATATGATAATGTCGCTCAATCCACCGGAACAGGGCCATAGTCCTCGGTTTTCCAAAAGCAAAACGAGCAATACGTGGGGAGTAAACGAAAAATTGGCAAATGGAAGTTTACGTAGCTTATCCTCCCTCCTGATTTCTTGTTTCCAGGTACCTCAGCTTTACTGATTTGTGCAGCAAATTCGACAGTCCTTTGAAGGAACCTAGCTGCGATCACTGGAAATTCTGTGAGAAGATTGCCCATTCCCTAGGTGGTTCTGTGGATTTAGTCTGCTCGAATGCCACCTTGGACAAGCCCTGCAGTGGTCCTCCCGTGCAGGAGGAGGAAGTGAACGGCAGAAACTTAGCCACCTTCTTGAAAGCGTTTGCCTTGATCTATGTTCTGCCAGAGGTTGATTGGACTGCGGAAAAAATCGAAATGTTACTATCGGAGGGTACGGACTTATTCCAAGAAAGCTCCGAAACAGACGGGGAAACGGACGAAAAGATCTCCAAGTGCGAGACTTATTCTGATGAGAAGCGAATCAAAAGGAAGTTTAATCTTGAAGGGCACACCTTTACTTTGGCTTTGGAACCTCGTTACCAGGGGGATAGACACTCCAAGCACACCATCAAGAATTTAGGTCGCGTTCTCCAGAAGTTCTTCACGTCCAGACGGTATTGCTTGGTTCTCTCTCGAGTGGGTAACCTCCTCATATGGCGGCGCAGAAACATGTTCTTTGTGATGAACGTCAAGGGTAAACAACGGGATAAGAATATGGGACTGACCATGCTAGTGTGCCTGAGAACCATCGAACGTGTGGTTGATGAAGCCAGGAAGTTAAGTGGGATAACCGCCAAGGATGAGTTTTGTATTCGCGAACTGGTGGTGGTGCACTTGGAGACGCCTGATGGACGTGTTTATATACGGGACTCCAACTACCGACCTATTGAGCCCAAGGTGGCGTATAAGAGCTACGCGTATCTGAAGGCGAGTCTTCATCTTTCACTGAGCCAAAATGATTCAGTAACAAACCGCAGCAGTCTAATGGTGGCCGTGGGCTCAATCCTGGCTAGCAAAGTTTGCCACCCGAAGAATTGGAATACTGATATGCTGGACCGACTAGTTTGCTACGGATTGGAGTTATCCCGTAGCTGCTGGCCGGATTGCTTTAGGAATCAGCGGCCCGTTGACCTAGATACGTTTCCCACCCAAATGCGACTGGGGCAGTTCGTCATGGAACTTAAACTATTACCCAACGTGAAAATGGGCCATTGGAAGGACGATCTCCACAACAATGGAACGAATTTCGGGACTCACATCAGTGAGGCCTTCAAGAAATACAGCAACGTAGTCTTCCAGATAAACAATCAGATGTATGCCATATGGGCCAAGGACGACTTTTACTACCTCCTCGATCCCTATCGGCATTCTGTCTTGGGTAGCCAGTCGGAGAAAGACAAGCCTGAGGGCGCTAAGTGGGCCACGCTTCGCATGTTTCACGACCAGCTGACCCTGCTTAGCGTGTTCCACCAAATGCTCAAGGAGTCACACCGGCAGTCTGCCTACTATCTGCATGTGGTACGTATACGTAATCTCGCCGAGTGCCCAGAGGGTTTCGCCCTGGCTCCCTTGCCCGACGAGGTGGATACCTTCGATGTGGAGTCTCTGAATGAAGCCATATTGTTCAGCGACCACCCAGGAGTCAATGTGTGGGATAAATTCATGAAGGAAATCAGCGACTACGAAGAAGAAGAGAAGCTAAGAGTTTCGTTGGAGGAACAGAGTGCAAGAGAAATGGAAGCCAAGAAAAACGCCGTCTCTAAAACAAAAACCCAAAAATCAAAGACGAGAATTGTAAAAAAAACAAAACGCTGCCAAAATGCTAAGAAATCAACGTCTACAATTCAGGATCCAAAGAAAACGGAGACAAAGACAGTCACAACACGCAAAAAGTCGGAAATCATTGTTCAGGAGCCAGAGAAACTGCCTAAGCAAAGCTCTTCCAAACGTATACATAGAAAACCAAAGAAGTCGCCCAGAAATCCACCAAACTCTGTAGCTTCAAACACATACACCAGGCAAAAAGGCGGTGTATCAGGCGATTCCCTCGCCAATCCGCCTAGTAAATGTCCTGACAGGGTTCCAAACGTCAAGTGGTCGACAAAGGAATTAGCTATCATGAAATTAGGAGATGCCAACTTAAAGGCATCACAGGTTAGAATACTTAAAAGGGAAGGAAACTCAATCCGTAAAAATGCTAACAAAAAGCAATCAGACGCGATATCCCCGAAGAAAGCTGTAAGAGATGTCCCCAAAGAACTCGTTAAACAGTCGAAACGAAACGAATCCTTGCTTCGTTTTCCGGGCTTCAATCGGGTGCCACAGCTCCTGGCCGTCGCTGGGTCCGAAAGCGGAACCACAGAGAGTCTGAACCGGATGCTTAGCTCCGCCTTCAAGGTGGCCAACAGAGTCTTTGCGATGACGCCGTGGGGCAACTACGTCATCTTCCGGCATAGTGCCAACCGCTCTAAGGAGTCGGCAGCCTCATGGTTCTACCTATTTGATGGTTGTACATGCGATATTGATCGATTCCGCCACTTGGATCTTTCCAAAGGCACTGCCGGATTAATTGCATTTCGAAAGCTATCAGATGTGGTATGTCACATCGCTGATTTAAGGGAGAAAAGGCCTTTGAAGGATCTGTGCAACTGTATGGAGGAGGAAGAACAGCTTCTCAGCGATGCGGTAAAAACTAACTTGGCCTCTGGAAAAATTCTTATAGAATGAAAGTTTGTATTAAAGAATAGCACCTTTCAGCTGGTGTTTTTTTTGGTTGTTTTGGTTGAAAAAAGGCGCATTCAGAGGTATAAAAACATGTCGAACGAATTTGCTTTCAGATTGTGGTGTGCAGAACACTTATATTCTATTTAGCTTTGGTTCTAGATTTTTTTCAATTTACCTGTATAAAAAGAACCAATAAAAATTCCAAAAAGTGTATCGCTGAGTGAATACCGATTGACCTAGAAGGGCCTGGAAATGGGTTATTGTTCCGCTTTTATAAAATTTCGGAAGCTGCATGATCACTAATATGAAATAAGCAGGTAATGTATATAAACAGACAGATTAATGAGTGGTTGAAGAGATCGGATGTTCACACGGAACTCAAGTTTTTTTCTTAGTGTAGCTCTCGGAAATATATTCCCAAGTATTTCAAAATGCATGACTTAATGGAAGCAAAATCTTATAGAAGGAACTTCGAAACCTTTCCGTCTTAAACATAAAGCGACTTCTTTATAGCGTGTTCTTATTCGTTTTCATTTTATTATTATTGCTAGTTCGTATTTTAAACTTAATATGGAGTACATTTACATAATGTAGAGAAATGTCGTACCCGACGGCGCGACGCATCTTACGAAGCTAAACATCCAACTAATGTGTAAATATAAAGAATATATGTATATATTGAGTGTATATAGAATTATTTAGATTTGTAATTCGTCTTGCAGCTAATGAACGACTCCACAGGATGCCAGAGGGGCGATGTTTGGCCAATGTAATAGTTATTTGCTGCTGCTAATGGCTATACGTTTTCATGTCAGATTATCCTTGAATTCCTATCCGAATGTATTTCCTTTTCTTATTTTTTGTGTTGTTTGCATTAAGGCACTGAAGCTTTGAATTTTGTGCTTATGGAAAGTAAATTTTTTCGACTGAAGCAGCACATCGCATCTATTTTGAATGCGACTATAAAATTATCGTACACTGCGCGCTTTTTCCTTCAAGTTTTATAGCAAATTTTGTTATATATAAAAATATCCCTGACTATTTTCGTTCTACTCATTCGTTTTTACATTTATGCCTGAGGCCTTCTGTTGCAATGCTTGCTTTATGATTTATTTTCATGTGTATTGTGGTGGTGATTCTTAAGCTCTTAAGATCGAAACATAAACTTATGCTTATGTGTACTACAATTAGGGCATTTTTTAAATAAGTATATTACAAAGGCAGCTCTCTAAGGACAAGAATAATTGTAAAAATAATTAGGACTAATGCGAAATTATATTCAGCAAAATAGGAAATGCATGTGATACGATACGACATTAAAATAAAGATTGCCCCTAACCCAAGGGGTCGTCCGTAACGATCAACGTTTGGACACGACCTCCACCATTTCCGATTGCAAGCATATACATATAAATTAGAGAAAATGTGTTGCAGGTCTGGACATGAACATAGATAATACCATACATTTGGGGCCGATTTCTCGTTAAGTATATAGGAGATAGTTTTGGGTTACGTAAGTTTAGGAGTTCTCGCTTAGGCTAAATATCGTTCTAGGTTAGACCATGTTGACGGCGCCATCAGCCTCGAAAGTGGGTATGGAAATAATATCGCTGCTGCGCACCGCGCCCATTGGCAATTTTGGGCATCCCTCAGCCGCATCCTTAGTTGTCCGATTCTCCTCCGCATCGTCATCGCTGGAGTCACTCGAATCATCATCTTCTGGCTCGCTGCAGCTATTCGTGGATGTGGACGTGGATGTGGTTTGGGTCTGCTTCATGGCCGATGCCATATCCGTATTACTCTCCAGCGTCGAGTGTTGGCTGGAAGGTGAGTGACTGTACTCGGAGGTGTTCTCCTCATCGGAGACAATGACCACGTTGCGCTTGTGGATGGCAATTTTTTGTGCCAGAGGTGCCTTGTAGCTGCGTCTCGGCCTCATTCCACGGGCAATGGGCAGGCGGCCAATGCTAAAAGAAGGTAAATTATTAGCAATTTTCGTTGACTGCATTCTAATTCAGCTAGTTACCTTCGCCTTCTCAAGGCGTATTTGTAGTCCGTCGTCTCGCCCTCCTCATCCGACCAGCTGTCCTGCTCCTGCGCCAATGCTGACCCATTGGCATTACTTATGGAACTACCGTTCGGGTTATCGCCCAGGAGCTGCCTTCGCCGCTTGCTTTGCGTGCTGCTGCACCGACTCAAGCACGGACTGTTGCCGGTCTCCCTCAGATCCAGAGGCGAGTTGCCCCCATTGCCGTTCTCAGTGTTGCTGTTTGAGTTCGTGTTGGACTGAATGGACAGGCGGTTTTCGTTGATGAACTCGATAACTTTCCGGCCCAAGCGGTCGAGATTTTCGTTGTCACTGCAGCAGTCGGTTATGTCCAAGCGCTCATTGCTATTCATGACATCGTCGATGAGTTGATCGGGACTTGAGCAGGCATCTTGGTAGGTCAACTCGCTGGTGCTCAGCGAATTGCCGTTCGACGGACTAGCGGGATTGCCTCCTCCTGACGCTGCTCCTGCAGCGGACGACGTGGACCCATTTCGAGCTCTCGCCTGAGCCTGTGCCATCTTCTGTACTCTTTGCAGTTGCAGTGGCAGTTGGCGATGATTCGGGACTGGAACATCGATGGGCTGCGAACGAGGAACCTCTGCGCTGGGACTAATATCCGTTTCACTGACATCCATGGCGTCCGTTTGGGTTTGCCGCTCCACCAGCTGCACCTTTCGATTTTCTGGCTCACTCTGGTACCGACGGTCTCGCGTCGGGCTGTATTTGGGCGGAGCGCCAAAGGATCCTGAACCATTACGTCGATGACGGAAATTCTTCTTGTTTTTGTTGGGCATTGTTCCGCCAAGACCAGGGCCCGGTATTAAGTTCTCCAAATATGATTTTGGCTGACAATTGCTGTCCAGTTGGGCATACAGCACACATTTCACAGGGGACTGCAAAAGGGATAATTTTTCAAGGGTTAAGTCATAAATTTGTAATCGTCGTCATACCTCTGGCGTTGTCTCTGGATCTGGCGTGGTAGACTGCTGTTGGATGGCTGCAGTGGGACCATTAAGTCGTCGGCGATAGTGTTGCATCTTCCTGAGCGTATTTCCTAAGCGTCGCGTAGGTTTGTATCCACTGCCAGGTAGCTTCCGTTCACGTCTGAGAATTTTTTGTTTTGATATTTATTATTAGTAAGCTTAACGAACACAGTTTTCATAAAACTTACTCAGCAATTTCCTTCTCCTTCTCCTGCAATTGCGACATACACTCGCTGAGCTCAAAGAACAGCTGGTTCGTCTTTTGCAACTTTTCCTCGTAGACCATCCGAATGTCCTGGGCATGACGCCATTCCGCCGTGCGTCTCTTGATCAAATCCTGCTCGTACTTGTGAATACTAGTGCCATTCTGTGTGATCTCCTTCAGGTGGGAGCGCACCTCCTCCTTCCACGACTTTTGCGTCTCAAAATATTGCTTTTCTGTTTTGCGCAGCAGTTCCGGCCCGGCGATGTCCAAGTGCGAGAGAATCTGCCGGAACGAGGGACGATTGCGGGGCTTGCTCTTCCAGCACAACTTGACGAGCAACTTAAACCCCTCCGGACAGGTACTCGGAACCAGCAGCTTCAGGGAGTTGTTGCCGACGCCCCAAATGATGGCCGATGAGTCCACATCCTTGTAGGGTATCTCACAGGTCAGCATTTCCCAGAGCACCACGCCATAGGACCAGATGTCAACCTTTTCAGAGCAGGGCTCATTCCGTATCACTTCCGGTGCCATCCAGGCGACTGTGCCCGCAAAACTCATCTTGGTGCTAATCTCGTTCCACTCCCGACTCGTTCCAAAGTCGCTGATCTTCACCACCTCATTTGTACTAATCAGTATGCTGGCAGAAGATTCGCAGATTTTAATAATAATTAAGTATTTCCTAAATTGGGGTTTATCTACTTACTTGGGACTTTTCAGATCCCTGTGTATAATCTTGTGGGAATGCAGATACTGCATGCCCAAAGCGATTTGCTTGGACCAAGAGACCAAACGGGACGGTAACATGACTTGCTCCTCCTTGAGTATATTTTGCAGCGGGCCATAGGGACAAAACTCCATGATGATGCAGAACACAGGCGATTGTGTGCAAACCCCTCTGCAAAAACAAGTTTTAAGGTGCTTTCATTCGGAGAAATATTCTTTTTATAGATCTCGATAAAATAATAATCATCAAATGATATATATTTTTTTTAAACTGTTACTTAATGACATTATTACTCACTTAAACTTGATTATATTCTCGTGATCGAGCTTCCGTAGATGTTTGATATCCGTTTCCTTTAGCTCCTTCACCTTCTTCACGGCCACAATCTCGTTCTTTAGCTTACCGCTAAAACTGCTCCCTGGGCTCCACTGCCAAGCCACTCCAGATCCGTAATAGATTCGAACGGAATCTCCCAGTCTTCACTCCGTTGACTCTTCACCTCGATCACTCCACTCTTACCAATGAACGAGAGCACGGGCTTCATGCATCCGAGCAATCCATACATCCATCCGATCGGCTTATCCGGATGGCCAAAGGCCGCCGCCGCTCCTCCCGTGTGAGGTGGCCAGCGTTGTTGGCACGAGTTCTCGGCACTGCTGTCCGTGATCTCCGCATAGTTGGTGTGGTGCTGCAGTCGAGGCGGAGAGTCCAAATCGGGTGACTTAAATGGCAGGTCTGTGGCGGCGAGGCCTAGGTGACCGAATTCATCTTGCAGGCAAGCCATGCTGCAAAGAGGTAAATAAATCTTTTTAAATCTTTCAAGAACTATAAATTGAAAGTGTCTTTGTAAAGTATTTTCGAAACTCATTATAAATGGTCTAAAACGATTATAGTTCATTTTCGGTATGTGTACATGTTTTCTCAAAATCAGGCCCCTGTCTGAAATTTTCTTAATTCTATGGAATACCTCTGGAGACCCATTTGATGGAATTATAAGTACAAGGAAGCGTAATGATAGTAAGCAAAGAATAGTCCTATAGCATACACAACGCACATAGAGATCCTGTGTT